TCAAAAAAAAAAAAAAAAAAGAAATGGAAAGTAGCGTCATGCTTTCTTTGTTATGTGAGTTATTTTGGTTATCTTGAATTTATTTACTAAAATATTTTCATTTAAAACTATTCTTTATTCTACAGAAACTTTGGGGTTTCACTGTGTTCTGGGCTGTGTGATTTTGGGGGCATCATTGCCCCATTTTTGCTCTTCCGGCTGGCGGCCCTGTGGCTGGAACTACCTCTGATCATCTTTGGTAAGGGCTCATTCTATATGCTATTCTTAAGAGCTTTCCTCTACGTTTTTTGCATTAATAGAACCCTAAATAACCATTAAGTATTAATGTTATTCATTTCATTTCATTTCTTTCTTTCTTTCTTTTTTTTTGAGTCAGAGTCTCACTTTGTCACCCAGGCTGGAGTGCAGTGGCATGACTGCGGCTCGCCACAGTCTCAGCCACCTGGGCTCAGGTGATCTTTCTGCCTCAGCCTCTCAAGTAGCTGGGACTACAGGCATGTACCACCACACCTAACTAATTTAAAAAATGTAGAGATGGGGGCTTTCTATTTTGCCCAGGCTGGTCTCCAACTCCTAAACTTAAGCAATCCTTCTGCCTTGGCCTCCCAAAGTGCTGGGATTACGGGCATGAGCTACTATACCCAATCATCCATTTCTTTTTTTTCTTTTTTTTTTTTTGAGTTGGAGTCTCACTCTGTTGCCCAGACTGGAGTGCAATGGCCACTCCCGGCCACCGCAGCCTCGAACTGCTGGGCTCCGGCGATCCTTCCGCCTCAGCCTTCCAAGTAGTCGGAATTACAGGCATGCGCTACCACGCCCGGCTGATTTTTTGATTTATTGTAGAGATGAGGTCTCGCTCTCCAGGCGGGTCTCTAACCCGTGGGCTCAGGCAATCCACTCACCTCAGCCTCCCAAAGGCACGGGATTATAGGCTGAGCCACCGAGCCCGGCTCATTTCATCTTTTTATAACAACTGTTTCAGCTTTTAGAAGGCAATCTGATAAATAAAATTTGAAATTCTAAATGGTTTAATTTACTTTATATTAAAGGATGGTGGCAAATGATATTCCACTTTGCCTTCTTTGTTTAGGTTCTGAATTAAAGCCAAATATTCTGAAACTCTCGTGGTATTAAGGAACAGAACCAATAATTTTCAGGGGATCACACTGGATCTTCAGTATGTTTAAAAATAAGCCCACAGCCGGGCTTGGTGGCTCAGCCTATAATCCTGCACCCTTTAGGAGGCTGAGGTGAGTGGATTACCTGAGCCCCCGGGTTTGAGACCCGCCTGGGCAACTTGGCGAGACCTCATCTCTACAATAAATCAAAAAAAAAATTAGCTGGGCGTGGTAGCACGCGCCTGTAGTTCCAGCTACTTGGAAGGCTGAGGCGGAAGGATCGCCAGAGCCAGCAGGTCGAGGCTGCGGTGGCTGGCAGCAGCCACTGCACTCCAGTCTGGGCGACAGAGTGAGACTCCAACTCAAAAAATAAATAAATAAATAAGTGCACAGACTAATCGCATTTTAAAATGTTCTCAGTCTACTGATATCATATTCTAATTTGCTTTGATGCTAAAAATGTAATGCGGAGTGCACGGGGGGACACAAAACCACTTAGATATTCATAACCTCCTCCACATCCCTCGAGTTCACATCCTCCTTCCTACCTCCAGTCCCTGTAGAACTCAGGAAGGCCCAGAATCATCATCTTGAGGGAACCTTAGGATACTCTGGGTAACCCTTCACAGGGTGTTCTGTCATCCTGCCTGTACCTCACACTTTCCTTTCCTCTCCTCACACTCTCCTCAGCAGTGATGGGTCCGGTTGGCCCCTCGCTCACCCTACCCTTCCTCCGCCTCCACTTCCTTACTCTAGGGAGAGAATATTTTTCGTTTGTTGTTCAACAGTTGAAACTTGAGTGAAAATGCTAAGGGTATAGCTTCTCATTCCTGCAGAAACCCTTTGGCAGTCCTAGGGTCAGAAAACCAGCTTCTAACTCCTTGACACCCTGAAAACAATAAGGGATTGCTCTAATGATTGAATGGAATTTGCTCACCAAGCTGAGCATTAATTCTGTGGCCAGCATGAAAAAGCAGAGAGTGCCACCATCCAGCAAGGATAGGTAGTCCAGGAGATAGAGCACCTGATCTTCAGGACGACTGAGTCCTGGGCTGTGGGACAAGCCTTTTTTTGCAGATCCTGGCTGGGGAGAGAGTCATATTCCTAAAAACTCAGGGTGATCACCGCTGAGACCCTGCAAGAAAAGGTTGCTGTGAGGACACATCACGGGGATCCCTGATCCCACTGAGTCAAGGGGAGAGAGCCGGGAAGGAGAGAAACAAAGTCGAGGTTGGGATCTGAAGATGAGGAGAAATGACCCTGTGAGGGGCTGGGCTGTGCTCCAGGAGGTGGAAGGCCCAGAGCAAGAGGAAGATGCAACCTTGAGTACCAAGGGGTGAGAGAGCAGAGTACAGGGTGTGGGTCAGGGCCTGAAGGGAGGTGGTCCCAGGCTCAGGCAGGAGCCAGTCACCAAGAGCCTTCCACACATGCTTTGTTCTTTATCCACACAGCAGTCAGAAACACTGGAGGGTCGTATCCTGGGATGATAGAGCCGGATTTGCCATCAGGAAACATGACTCTGGGCTGGGCATGGTGACTCATGCCTGTAATTGCAACACTTTGGGAGGCTGAGTTGGGAGAATTGCTTGAGACCAGGAGTTCAAGACCAGCCTGGGAAGCATAGCAAGACTTGTCTCCACAAAAAGTTAAAAAAAATAATTAGCCTGGTGTGGTGGTGTACACCTGTAGTCCCAGCTACTCAAAAAGCTGAGACAGGAGGATCGCTTGAGCTCAGGAGTCTGAAACTGCAGTGAACAGTAATTGTGCCAGTGTTGTCCAGTCTGGGTAAGATAGTAAGACCCCAACTCAAAAAAAAGACTCCAATGACAGATATGCAAATGAGTTGGAGAGGACCCTGCCAGGGGAAGACAGTTCAAAAATGTTGTCATCCAGAGATCATAATGGCTTCTAGGTAGGTGATGGCAGTGGGAGAAGAGTGGAGAGGGCCAGAAACATCTTGGAAAGGAGCTGGGCAAGAGGAGATGATTGGTGGGTGGACAGGGGTGTAATGAGCTGGGAAGCCCAGGCACCTGAGAGAGAGGTAGTTGGTGGCATGGGCGCTGGTTGAGTGAAGGTCTGGGCAGGTCTGGGTGGGTCTGCAGGACCATAAGGGTCTGTGCTGGCAGGGGCAGTTTGAGATGCCCGTGAGAATCCAAGTGGAAATAGAATTGGCCAGAAGGTCCAAAGCTGCTGAGTGCCGGAGGGAAGTACAGCCCAGGAGTGGAGAGCTGGACCATGGGAGGGACCAAGACCCCCTCCCCACCAAGAAGTGAGGACAGAGCTAGAGCAAAGCAGAGGCCCAGGACAGAGCCCTGAGTGAGGGGGGTGAAGTGGAAGGCACAGGCAGAGGGAGGGAGCTGCCAACGAAATGGGAGAGTGGAGAAGAGAAGCAGAAACCAGGCAAGACACCCAAGGCAGGAGGGTGAGATCGGGCTATCCTAAGGACAGAAAGCAGCACCACTGGATCTGGTGGCTGGCAGTGGCAGCAGGATCCGACTGGAGCAGGGGCAGGGAGGACATGGGGCCAAGCTCAGGTGAGGGCAGGCTGCAGTGGGCGCTGGCAGGCCGGGTTGTGCTGGAGCAGGCTGGTCCTGGCTCACCAGGGCTGAGTGCTACATTTGCAAGGATTTTGTGAGCCAGTTGTTAAACATGACCATTGTTGACCATTAAGAATGAGGCTGGGCACAGTGTCTCATGCCTGTAATCCCAACACTTTGGGAGGCTGAGGCAGGAGGATTTATTAAGCCCAAGAGTTCGAGACCCGCCTGAGCAACATAGCAAGACCTTGTCTCTACAAAAAAGTAAGAAAATTAGTGCACCTGTAGTCTCTACTACTCAGGAGTTGAGGCAAAAGGATTGACTAAGCCCAGGAGGTCAAGGCTGTGGTGAGCCATGATCACACCACCACAATCCAGCCTGGACGACAGGATGAGACTCTGACCAAAAAAAAAATTAAAGAACATAAAATATAGTAGATTGAGAGATAGTAAACACTCCACATTCATCAGTTCCTAATTTGTTTACTAAATCTTACTATTATCTCCTGCATCTTTATGGTGGAATCATCATTGATGGAGCAATCATAAAGCTCTTCCCAGTGCTGCATTCATGATATCAAGTCAGTAGCTTGAAATGCCCACGTGGGAGCATTTACACCATGCAATGGGCAGATGCTCCCAACCAGGGCTTTGTTTCCCAAAGCTGGTTGTTAAACATGTACCAGCACTCACCACTAGGATATGAGGAAGTGGAGAAAATAAGAGAGGATGACATTTCTAGAAGTTTGTCTCTAAAGAACAAATAATGGGAAGATGGCAAAGGGAGGGTGAGGTGAGGTGGAGAGAAGGCTGGTCAAAGAGGTCGGATGTGAGTGTGTTCAAAAACTTCTGCCAGTAGGTTGAAGCAAGGAAATTAGTCACTCAACAGAGAAGCCTAGAAAGACAGGCAAAGGTAAGGGCTTGCCCTGGGGCAGACACGGGGCAAGTCTTGCAGTATAAGGTGACAGGAACACCCAAAGGGAGGGGGCAATGGTAAGTCATAGTGGAAGCTGAGAGGAGTCCTCTCTGGCTTTTGTTTCCCTCTGAAGTAGGAGGTGAGGCCTTGGGTGTGTGTTAACACTTGTGTACCAGGTGTAGGGAGTCGCGGCACTGCACAGAGTTTGGGGAAGGTAGAGAACATTTGAAATCATGACAAAGAAGACCTGGAGTGCCAGTTGGGATAATCAAAGGATTGCTGTGGTTGGGGCTACTTCAGGTGAGCCATGTGGCAGCTTCTAGCCTGGGAGAGGGATCTGCCTATGTGTTCCTGGGGTAGTAACACTCTCTTGTTCCGTAGGTATCCTGGCATCTATCTGTGGTGGCCTCGTGATGCTTTTACCTGAAACCAAGGGTATTGCCTTGCCAGAGACAGTGGATGACGTAGAAAAACTTGGCAGGTATTGTCCAAAATTCAACGCATCCTAAAATAAAAGCCACATTTCAGACTATGGGGGAAAGGATGATGTTGCGAACATCGACTATCCATGCCAAAAGTAACATTCAATCCCTATCCCACATCCTAAGCGAAAATTTCAAAGTAAGATTTAAAAGGTTAATGTGAAAAACAAAACAAAGTTAGAAAAGAATATGCATTATTTTAAAATGTGGTTGTGAAGAGGGGGTATTTCTATGTAGGGCTCTGAGACTCAGAAGCATCTAAAGGAGGAACGGGTGATATGGTGAGGTGGAATCCCTGGGTATGCAACTGAAAGGGACAGACAGAAGATGATGCTGCATTCATAGTGTGGATGGCTCCACAGAGGGGAGGAGCACTGAGCTGTCTAGACAGATAGCATAGGAACCTGCAAGAGGGAGGACAAAGTGAAATATCACCGAGCAGGTGTTATGTAAAAATAAAAGCAATGGCAAGTCCTCTCTGTAGCTAGGTGGGAAGGTATATGACACACAGATAGTGGATAGATAGCTGAAGGAATGGATGGATAGGTGATAGATGGATAGATGATGACGATGATGAAGATAGATGATAGAGATAGAGATGGTGGATAGATGATACATAGATAGAAGGTAGAATGGATAGATAGATAAGATGGATAAATAGATAGATATGATGAATAGATGATAGATAGATAGATAGATAGATAGACAGATAGATAGATAGATAGAGATAGGTAGGTAGAGATAATGGGTAGATGTGGGCTGGACAGATAGATAGATATGATGGATAGATGGATGGATGGATGGATGGATAGATAGATATAATGGATAGATTGTGGATAGATGGCTGTAGTGAGGTGTGATTGTGCCACTGCACTCCTGCCTGGGAGACAGAGTGAGATCCCGATTCAAAGAAAATAAAAAAGAGAAAAAGAGATTAAACAGACACACAGAGAAAAGACCAAGAGAGAGACCGAGTTTGGGAGGTGTTTGTCTAACATGTTAACATGAAGAGTTAGACCAACAAAAATTCACACTACACACATTCTTTCTAATTTTCTGCTTGGAATTGTTTATAATAAAAAGATAGAGAATATGAACTTGAGAATATATAATAAAATATGCAAAATAATAGATACCTCTGGGCACAGAAATGGATTAGGGAGAGGGGTAGGGAAGGGAGGGTCATCGCTTTTGTTTCTAAAGACTTCTGTAGTGTTGAATTTTTAAAAAATTGGAACACATGGTCTTGTGTTATTTATGTGATTTTTAAAAAGAATTTAACAGCTAACTTAAAAGTAAAAATCAACCTTAATGATATCTGGAAATTAGGGGCATGGATCTCTATATTTCAAAAAATGTATCAAAAATACTTATGAAAAGACTGATATTTTAGTAACCTCAGGGCAGTATTTTTCTTCACTTGTAATTGTGCCTATGGGAGTCTTTCATTTAATACTCAAAACAATTTTGTACAACAGAATTTTTTATCCTCACTTTTTTATAGCTAGGAAATCAGAAAGACTTCAGAATTTTTAAACACTAGGACTGGGATCGATACTGCCCAGTGTACAAGTGCAATTTCATTGTTTTCTGTATTTTTATGATATGGTGCATCCTCTCTGTGATTATTTTAAAAGGGAGTATCCCTATGGTAGGATTGGAAATGTCTTTCTCCAGGCCCTCTTTTAAGCAGGAACCATCTCCCTTCCCAGAAGTAAGAGTCTCATGGTTATTTTACCAGGCCTTTAAAACTTGGCAAGATATGGCTAACTTATACCATGATTTTATTTTCCTGTTTTTGATGCTATTTTGAAAGGTAAGATTGGTTACTCATTCCCAGAACTTTGCTAAGAAAGGTCTACTGGTGCACTCAAAACAAAATCGCCTGCTCATAGCTCATTGGTCAACTACTGATAGAACGGGCCTTTCAAAAGACAGGTGGACATTTGTCTCACGAAGTAACCTAAAAAGATTCTTATACTTGTTTGGAAGTAAAATGATGGGTAGTGATTTATTCCTCACCCAAAGTTCTACCCACATGTTACCCTAGAACAATGCTACTTAAAGTTGGGCAGAGGTGGGAGTTTCTCGTTAAGACGCTACCATTTTGTGGAACAAAATTAAGCTAATTAAAATTATTAAAACTGCGTGAGACTGGCGTGGTGGCTCATGCCTGCAATTCCAGCACTTTGGGAGGCCAAGGCAAGAGGACTGATTGCTTGAGTCCAGCAGTTTGAGATGAGCCTGTGCAACATAACGAGACTTTTGTTTCAATGACAAAATGAAAATAAAAAATAAAAATAAACAAACCGTGCGTCTTTCTTGAGTGTTATACCATGGGAGGGTCTCATTCCATCCAGAAAGTAGAAGCACTATGCTAATTGTGATATCATAGGCAATGAATTGCTTGGTTTATGTCAGGATGTGGGGCCTGGGTCAGGGTGGAGGGGAGTGTCCAATCTTGTCTCCCCAATGGTAGCAGTGCTAGAAGACCAGGAAAAAGGAGAATATTCAAGAAGGTGAAATGAAGCAAGAGAAAGTGACAAGGAAGGAAATGAAGTTGCCTTAAAATAAGAGATATAGACCTTAAGGGTAACTTCATGGGTTATATAACCTCAAGGATTTGTTTCAGCGTGGGACACCCAGGAGAGTATTCCTGCCACTGTTGTAGGGTCAAAAGAGGGAAGGGGTTCAGTGCTGGCTCATGAAGATGTCATCAAGGCTTCAGGGACCCCAATGCTCAGTGGCACAGATGCCTGACTCATCGCTCCCGGATGCACTTTCTGTTAGGACTCTCACAAGAGGGAACGTACCCTTCCTTCTGCTCTATTCCATCAACTGCTGCCTGTTTAAACAGTGAAAGCAACATACTCTTTCTTGACTCTTAAACTAGTCAAAGGGTCAGATTTCCAAACTCATTAGGAAAAAATGGAGAAAGAGGTTGTCATTTGAGACCAGGACTCTTCTACTAACTCAATCGTATTAAAATTAAACAGCTGGGAGAGATTTTTTTGTGTGTGTGGAGGGGGACATCTAAAAGGCGCATGGGGAAAGTTAATATCCAATGACTATATAAACATAAAGAGTTATACTCCCCAAAACCTAAGTCATTCAAATTCTAATTTTTTCTATGTTTATAATTTTTCATAAAGGAAACTTGGGTACGTGAATTAATTATACCTAGTCCTTACCCTTGAAAAAAACTCTAGTAGAAGTATGATTTATAGTGCTCCAAATTAAGGACATTAATTGTGACCCATGATGATTTAGTCTGAAAAAAAAATACTTAGTGCCAAAGTATTGAACCCTGTTAGCATTTCCCTTCTAAAACGGCAATGAATTATTCTATAATTTCTGCTGCTTTTGTTCACATCAACAGCTCATTTCCAAGTGTATGCTATTCAGTAAAAATGTATATGCCATAACTAACCCTTGTCTGGGGTCTGAAAGCAGGTCAGAAATGAGTCCGGAGACAGATATTTTCATTATCTTTTGAGTTGAGCTTTCATGGGAAGTGATGCATGAGTGTACTTGATCAAAACCAGCTCTGTTATTAAATAATAACAGAAGTCTTTCTTCTAACTAGCTGACTATACCTTTTCTCTCTTTTTTTAGTAGACATTCTTATAAATGTGGCAAGAAAAAGAAAACTCAAGTTTCCAGCTCTCACCTTTGAGGCCCCTGCCAGCAATGGAAGGAAGCGCTATTCAGAAGCGGACCCTCTCTGCAAAGCTGTGCCTTGGACAGACTGCACATGTTCACTTCTGCTATGTGATACTGGGCTGTTCCAAGTGTTTTTAATACTGTACAAAGACATTCAAACTCTCCAGAGTATTTTTATACCATGTTGGATGAGTTGGGGCTTATAGGGCTGTTGGAAGTTTCTGGGAACACTTGATATACAGCTGGTTTAACAATGAGCCTGTTGGGTGCACAGTCCTTCCTGGAGCTTTTTGTTGTGGTGTGGCAGTGGCCTCTGACTCATTAGGCTGCAGGGAGATGAAAGAAACTCCCCACCCAATGCTCACAATGGCCCCTTCAGAAAGTTAGGTTGTGCAAACCAGGGACTTGGGGAAGGTTGACAGGAATGGGGTCATCAGATCTGGTCAAGGGATTCAGCCCTGAACTGAGTGTTCTGGGGGTCCCGTGAGGAGGAAGGTTTGGGAATCCTGCTAATGAAGAGATGCCCCTCGGGCTCTCAGGCCACGAGTGCTGAGCCATTGTGGTTTCTGCCCACCATGAGTCCCACAAACCTTTGCAGCATAGACAGGTCACATGTCCCTTGCATTCCCCTGTTCTGCAACCTCTGGGATTCCAGGCATGGTTTAGACCTCGTTCCTTCAGTAGGAACAAATCTGCTGTACAATTAGAGGATTTGGCTCTGTCTTTTATAAAACCAGATTGTGGTCCCGAGATCCTTTGGGACATTCTTGGTCCTCCTTCAGTGGACACCCAGAGCTACAGATTCCCTTCTTTGCTGAGCAAAACCCATGGATTATGATCCATGGGTCACAGGATTTTAAAAGCAAAAGGATATTTATCTTATATGATGGCACCTGGGGTCAAGAGTGAGGAACATGGACAGTTCATCCAATCCTGGCACTTTTGACTTGTCTTAGGAAAAAGCTTACATTTTAATTTTTAAAAAAGGTCAATGACATCCATGCTTACAGCAGCTTTATAAGTGACTTTATAGAGACTGATGAGGGATTCGGTCTTTCTGTTTTGTTATCAAGACATTTGAAATGGGAAACTCGTGAGTTCTGCTTTGTGAGCTATATTCATTATATTTTCAGGTTCAGTATATGAGTTTTATGCCGAGTTTTTAAATGAAATACTTTATGTGGACAGGCAAAATGGATTCTAAAGGGAAGTATTGCCAACAACATTTCTCTACGAAGAGCAGATGACAATACATACGACGTGTGTACTGATTGTAAAATGAGCTTCTTGTAAAATAAGGGTTATTGTAAAATAACCCTTCAAGCACAGCAGAATTGAAGATGAATGTCCTACTTGGCAATGAAATACACACAGCTCTTTGCAAATGTCGGGCTGTGTGCACTGCCTACTCATAGACACTTGCATTTTTGCTTTTCTCTGCATTTCTTGGCTGTAAGATGACTTGCTCCTTAATACCATCACTTTGGATCTGTATTTTGAGTGGATATTTTTGTTTGGTAACAATAAAAAAATTCTAAATTGTAAAATATATACATCTGTCCTTTCTCCAAGCATGCATCCCTGTAAAATATCTTTCCCACGGAACAATGTGTGCTACAGAGTGTCTCGCATCTGGACAGGCCATCTGCAATGGAAAATAAATTGATCCACTTTTGATATTCGTTCATTGTTCCTTTACAGGCTCTTGGCACCATTCCTAGACTCTAATGTGACTCAGAATAACATGGCAACTTTTAGCCGGTCTTATGAAATACATGTCCAGCCACTGGTTCACTCCACAATATGCAACTCTCTACTCTGTGTTCCCCCCGGGCTGGGCTGACATAGAGTCATCACTAACAGATTTCACTCCCAGTAGAAGAACTGGTTCTCATGACCCCCATCCATGTTGCAATTTGAGAACATTTATCTCAGGACCATAAATAAAGACATTATAGATATGTGTCAAGCAATCATTATCCAAAGAGGTAAATGTGTGGGTGAGTAACTGAGACTTCTTGGTTCTCCTCTCTGTGACCTTACATTCTTCTCAGTCCGTGTGTGTGTGTGTGTGTGTGTGTGTGTGTGTGTGTGTGTGTGTGTGTGTGTGTGTGTGTTTTGAGTCAAGGTCTCATTCTGTTGCCCAGGCTGGAGTGCAGTGGTGTGATAACAGCTCACTGCAGCCCTGAACTCCTGGGCTCAGGTGATCCTTCTGCCTCAGTCTCCCAGGTAGCTGGGACCACAAGCACATGTTACCATTCCTGTATAATTTTTTGAATTTTTTGTAGAGATAGGTTCTCACAAACCTATCTTGAACTCCTGGGCTCAAGCAATCCTTCTGCCTCACCTCCCAAAGTGCTGGGAGTGCAGGCATGAGCCACAATGCTCAGCTGCTTCTCAGTCTTTTATGCAACTATTTCTTTTCTATTTTTCAGAAGAAATTTTGTTTTATTTTTATACACATCAAATAAATACCAAAATTTTAAAAATATGCAATCAATAATGCACCCATAAATAAAAATTCAATCAATAATGGTGGCATGAACCCATCACCCAATTCAGGTAATAGTCAAAAGAAATTGACACATGTATCATTAGTATAAGGAGTGTTAATATAACTCTTTCAGTATAATCATGTGCCACATAACCACGTTTCAGTCAAGAACCGACCATATCTCCAACAGTGGCCCCATAGAATTATAATGGCTTATCATCTGGTGATTTGTTACAATTACCTACAGTGTTCAGTGTGGCTACACTCCATATAGCTTTGTAGCCTAGGAGCAACAGGCTATAACAGACAGTTTATGAGGGTTGTAGGCCATAATATCTAGGTTTATGCAATGATTTCTTATTTTTAAAAAGAGCTAAGTCATTGCAGTCTGTTCATTTAAAATTGGTAGGATGAACAAAGAACATGAAAACGTTGAAGACCAAACACAGGATTAACTCAAAGTAAGTACAGAGTTTATTTTCAACAAATGGCGATAGCCATGTGGCCTTACTATCCAGCAGTCCAGGAACAGGAAAAATGTATACATAATAATACAAAAAATGCAGAGGCGTGGCAGTAGGTGGTAGCTGTGGACAGCGTCTTGGTTTGATGACTGTCGGCTACCCTCAGCATGCCAAGTTCCCTGCCCACGCTCTTACTGCTAGACAAGTTGATGCTTTCCTTTGTCTCCCATCCAGTTAATTATTTTTCATCACTCCTTCAATCCAAGTAACAAACCTTGAAACACGGACATAGACACCAGGCTTATTGGGGCGTGCACAGCCAAGACCCCAAGAAGTGACTCCTTGCAAAATGTATTTGTCCTTCTCGAAGCAAACCAGGGGTCCTCCGCTGTCACCCTGCACAGAAGGAGGGAGAATCCATGTGGAGATGAAGGTGCCATCCTTTGATTATGGATGATATCCTACTATTATCCACGCATGTTTTCCCAGTATTTGAAATCAGAAAAGAACTTACTAATGCACTATCTGAGCATCTGCAGTGTTTAAGTACTTAGCATGGTATACTTCACAAAACCACACCATTTAGTTTCCCTGGGGAAAAAAATCCTGTATCAATCCTGCTCTCATCCCCTCCTGCCTCGGGGCTTTCTTTAGACTGGGCTATCCTGGGCACAATTGCCTTCCACCCCTTGCCTCCTGGAAAAGCCACCATCCTAATCCCAGACACCTGCACATTCCAGTGGCCTGTGGTCGTTATGGTACTCACTCCTCTCTTACTATAGATCTGGAACTTAAGGCCCAAGAACTCACCTTAGATGGTCTGAATGAGCATTCAGGGACAGACCTATAGGGTGGGTTTCTGAGCAACATTTAGACTGGGACCTTGGGTTGACAAATCTTTCTTGAATTTGCCATTTGGGGACTGAAATTCTAAGGGGCTAAGACAAGACCGCACAAGACTTCCTGTGATCTTTTTTATCTTTTCTTCTTCTAACTAGAGACAGGATCTCACTATGTGGCCCAGGCTCGATTCTGGCCTCAAGCAATCCTCCCTACTTGGCCTCCCAGAATGTTGGGATTACAGGTGTGAGCCACCATGCCTAGCCACTTTGGTCTTTTCGTACCTGGCAGCTGTCTGTGCCCCCGGCCAAATGCCCAGCACAAAGTTCTGTGGATTTGACTCTTCCATTCAGATACTCATAGCGATTACAAACTTTATTCTCAATCACAGGGAGCTGGGCTTCCTTGAGAAGGCCAGCGCCAAAGGTGCCTGTGGTGAAAAAGATGATGGAAAAGGTTACTGATCTAAAACATGTTGATGGGAAAATTTGGTGAACAGCAGAGCAGCAATAACAGATCTCTTGTTTGTCTGTGAGGCTGCATAACACAAGGAGTCAAGCCCCAACACTGTTAGAAATCTTTTTGCCCCTTGAAAGTAATAAATACCATATAGGATTTTATTCCCAAGACCTGGATTTAACAATTTGGGCGGGGGCAGCTTCTTCTTTTCCTCCTCCTCCTCCTCCTCCTCCTCCCCCTCTTCCTCCTTCTCCTCTTCTTCTTCCTCTTCTTCTTTTGAGTTGGGGTCTCACTCTGTTGCCCAGGCTGGAGGTTGGGAGCACGATCACAGCTCACTGCAGCCTCAGTCTCCTGGGCTCAGGCAGTCCTCTCACCTCAGCCTCTCGAGTAGCTGGGACTACAAGAGTGCCTCCCTATGTATGGCTGGATAATTTTTTGATTTTTTGCAGAGATGAAGTCTCACTATATTGCCCAGGCTAACTCCTGGGCTCAAGCAATCTCTCACTTCAGTCTTCCAAAGTGCTGGGATTACAGGCAAGAGCCACCGCACCCAGCACAATCTAGGCTTCTTTATGGTGTTTTTGGGATTTGTTGGGTTTTGTTTGTTTTTTGCTTTTCTTTTAAAAGTATAAAACATAATTTTAGTATGTAAAGAGAGTTTGAGAAATACAATTGCTACTCTGTTGATATATTCTTTTTCCAGGCTTTTTATGTACCTTTCAAACTACTTACATCATATCACACAATTTCATACCCTGAGATTTTTCACTCCACATTATATCATGAAGAGTTTTTAAATAATGCTTCCATCTACATAATAAATATTTTAATGCAGAGTGACTGCTTAGCAGGCATGAAGCTTCCTTTTGAAGTGAAGAAAATGTTCTGGAAATATGGTGATGGCTGAACGTCACTATGAATGTACTAAATACCACACGGTGGAGCCCTTCAAAATGCTTAAAATAGTAAATGTGTATATTTTACTGTGATAAAATAAGAATAGCTATTGTTTACTGAGCATTAACCTTTCCAGAAACAAACTCATCATGTAGTGTATTGCATTTAAGCCTCACAACAGTCCTATGAAGTAGGCATGTTTATCGTTCCTGTTCCACAGTTAGGGAAACTGAGGCTTGGAATGGCTTTGTGCCTTACCTTGAGCCTGGGTCATCAGCTCCTTGCTTCTAATGTTCTACATCTTTGTTCATAAGATTTATTCTTATCCTTCAATATTTTCTGAAGTCTAAACTCTCATAAATTATGTAGACATATTTATGTCTCCCATTAATGTGGCCAAATTATTTTCTTAAAAGGTGTGTAAAAGTGTAATTTTCACTAGCAAAAAAAAATCACTTCATCTCACCCTTATGAATATTCAATTTGTAAAATATTAGCTAATATCATAGGTAGAAATTGTCCTGATTCATTTGCTAGTTTACATTTCTTTGACAATTAGGGAGAGTGAATTGTCTCCTGTGAGCTTATTTTATTAGCTTACATTGCTTTTATGAAAATCTGCTTTATTTCCTTTGCCAAATTGAAATGGAACGTGTGCAAAATTGCCAGAGGAAATGCTGTCTTTCTGAGTGACACACCCAGGGACGTCTCAGTGTTCTCATAAATCATTCGGTGTTCCCATTAAGCAAGCCCGGCCCTCACTAGAGTCCTGCAAAACTCTTTGCTTTCCTACCTGGCACAGGCTCTTGAGGAAACTCTCTCTTCCCCAAAGACTCTGACTGAACTTATGTCATTGTCTTGGGTTCAAAAAGCTTAGGCTCAATATGGAATCTACATGAGCATAGAGGACATTGGCCAAGGGTCCCGCCCAGTGCCTGACTGGGGAGAACTGCATGGCAGAGGCTCCTGACTGCACAAGCCTCGGGCAGGGCGGTGCATCACTTAAACAGAGTGGATGTGTGGACGAAGCACCCTTCGCAAAATATCCTGCTGAAAATCAATTTAGTCCTAAGTGTTGCTGCCCTAGGATCTGCTCTTTGAGCAAGCCATCTGATGCTGGTGACCAACTCACTGCTGGGGACTGCAAGTGGATGTAGTCTGTGAGGAGATGCCGCCACCCAGTGCTCAAAGAAGAGATGACAGTTCTGAGAGCTGGGAAGCCGAGGGTGACCTGGGGACAGAAGTCCTTTTTTTAAATGAAAACTTACGCAAAAAGCGAATGTGGAAAACGCAATTTGGAAACACTGGCTTTGTGGATGAGAGGTTGGAGCCACATGGCAAAGGGGTGGAGTGATGCGTCCAGGTTCATCTGGCCTGCCGCAGAGTCAGAACTCTTCTAGGGCCTCAGACTCCCATCCCAGTGTCCCCAACAGCTCTGAGGAGTGAGGCTGAAATCCTAAGGCTATCCTGGTGTTCGGGGCAAGACTGATGGGTATGATGATTGTCAGGACTTATTGCAAAGAGAATAAGGGGAGTCCCCAACACAGTTTGGGGGCCAATACCAGATTCTGCATAGACGTCCCCTCTGGGCCCTCAGCCAATCCACCAACACCAAATGCCATCATAGAACTGAGAGGTCCTCTCCCTGACAGTCTCCCAGACATGAGACATGTGGGTATTTAGGGAACTTGTAATGTTATTGTTTTACACCATGTTTAGAAATCCAACATGGCTAACTTCACATTAATAAAATAATCTCCTAACTCGTGGGCTGTGTCAAAACCCCTCTCTCCTACAGAAGCAATGTGACCATGAATTTATGGACTAAAAGACACCAAGAAACGGTTCCTCTCCCCTTGCCTGTGTTCCTTGATGACTGATTATGGAGACTTAGGCAGGTGCCCAGACAAGGAGGGGAACGAGTTTGTACCATTCTCCAAAACGCTCACTTTGTCATATAGGCTGTAGGTCAAAACTGAGCCATTATGCAGGTCACCGATTTTATTTATCTCACCTTGGGTATCTCCCCAGCCAGTGATGAAACATACCGTCCGGTCAGCGACCACATAATTTGAGGGTGGCAGACAAGCTGGAATGACTTTGTCACTGACGACGGCAGGACTGGAAGGGAAACATTAACAGTTTCACTGGACTGCCCTGATGTGGGCCTAGCTTCAGTGATACAGAGCAATATGGAATTCAGTGTTTTGTGCTCACAATTGCCCATAGTCTCTTACAAATGAAACAGAACCAAAGTTCTATGTCAAAGGCATCAGTTGTGTACAAGAAACTGCTGGTGGTCTTTGCATTTGAGAACAGAGACAACAAAGACTAACTTTCTCTTTCTTTTTTGTTTAAAAACAGGGTCTCGCTATATTGCCCAGATGTAAGTGTAGTCACTATCCACAGGCAGGATCATCATCGTACTATAGCCTTGATCTCCTGGGCTCAAGCAATCTTCCTGTCTCAGCCTCCCAAGTAACAGGTGTGTGCCCCACACCCAGCCAAGATTCAATTTCCATTTTTATCATGTGCACTATGGAATTTTATACCAAGAGTGGCCTTTTACATGAATCTAAAAGGGCATTAATCAAAATGCAGAATGTCTAGCTGCAACACTGTCACTAGGCCATAGTAATATCGCATGCATTGTTTGTCCAGAGCCAGTTGCTTCATCCTTGGACCCTCAGTTTCCCTCTCGATTACCACACCAAGCTGTCAGAATCCAATACAGGGCCAGGTACCGAAGAAGGAGCATGGAAATAAGCACCTTGCACAAGCAAGATGGGGTTCTTTTCCAAGAACATTCATGTGCCTTAGAGTTCTGGGGATTCTCAAGCGTTACAATTCTGACTTTAGACCTGCTTCCCCTTTAATGAGTTCCTGGTGGGTGGGAAGCCTGGAAATGAGAAATACCCTATTCTAAGAACCATCGTCGACAACTTCGTAGCTGATACCCTTTCTCAGAGGCCCCAAAAGACCCAGCATCTCCCGCAGATACTGTCACTCTGAGGTTCTCTCGTGAATCACTAATTGCCCTGAACTGTCCGGGTGTGGGATGTTGGGGGTGCTCAAAAGCTTGAAATTCATCAGCCTGTCAGAGAGCCCTCCCAGAACGCAACATTCACTAGATCACTAGATGGCTTCTTCCAGCCATCACATTACCCAAGTGTCTGAGGATCGTGAAGAGAGGACTCTTCATATTTGCACATTTGCTGGGATGCAAGGAGAACATAGGAACAAGAGGGAAACCAGCTCCTTTTTTTTGAATCAGAGTCTCGCTGCTCAAGCTGGAGTGCAGTGGCAGGATTGCAGTTCATCGCAGCCTCGGCCTCCTGGGTTCAGGTAATCCTTCCACCTCAGCCTCCTAAGTAGCAGGGACTACAGGCATGCACCATCACACCCAGTTAATTTTTTTGTAGAGACAAGGTCTTGCTATGTTGTCTAGGCTGGTCTTGAACTTCTGGGCTCAAGCAGTCTTCCTGCCTCAGGCTCACAAAAGTGCTAGGATTACAGGGGTCAGCCACCATACTTGGCCCTACTTTTTAAAACTTAGCCAAAAAGAACTTTCAAAGTGTCAGAACATCCTAGATGTTAGCTCTTAGTTTACAGAACCAGAAAAGTTGCCCCATTTTTGTGACCAGGCCCAATAGGGCATCTTGGACCCCTGATGACTACTTTGTGCAGGCCTGGCCGTCTCCACCCATGTCGTCATCACCCTCCCCATGTCATCATCACCCTCCAGAACCCACCAGCACAGCTAATACACCCTGCACGCCTCATCATCTGCCCCAAACGTGCCTGCTCTCCACACAGCTTTCTGTCTGCTGGCTGTTTCCATTGGAACCCATCTCCAAAGGTCCTACTTTAACCAAGATAAGCAGATGTATCACTTTCCAGGCTTAATAAAATAAGATTTCAGCAGGAAAGATAAAGTCAAAGAAAGCTATAATAATAACATGATTTGCATTTGTAAATAATAATAATAATAATAATACGATTTGCATTTGCAAATAATAATGATATGGTTTGCATTTGTAAATAACAATCGGTTTGCATTTGCGAATAATATGATTTTCATTTGTAAAAAATAATGATATGGCTTGCATTTGTATATGATTTGCATTTATAAATAATAATGATATGGCTTGCATTTGTAAATAATAATGATATTATTTGCATTTGTAAATAATAGTGATGTGATTTGTAAATAATAGCGATATGGTTTGCATATGTAAATACTGGTATGGTTTGCATTTGTAAGTTGTGCCTGTGGGTTTTTTTAGTATTGTGGGGTTTTAAGTGCTTTGAAATAAACAATCTCATTTGCTTCTCACACACATTATGATGGAAGGAGCATTGTTAGCCTGAAGTAGCAGACTCATTCTCTGATCATAAATGTGTGTTCACTGGGGAAAACTGAATGAGAGAGATTCAGGGGCAACAGGGTGCCTCGTTTCAACTTCTTTTTCCATATAAGAAACCTAAGTGCTATTGTCTTTTTCAAGGTCACAGCTGTCTATGGCGTTGTGGTTGAAGTTCAATGCTGTCCCCAAAGTCCTTGAGCCTTTCATGTCACAGATGGCCTCTCCACTGCTATGTAGGGACTACAACTCACAAAACCCAGTCGTGAAACAAATGTCTTCCTGGCACAGGGTTAATAAATGCCCAGGTGAGCTCATACCTATCCAGCTTCAGCAAGGCGATGTCTGCTCTTGAGGGCTCCAAGAACAACTTAGCCACTTCTATTTTCTGGACATCTGATTCAAGTCTCACTTCTTGGTGTGCACCCAGGATGACCTTGTAGTACGCAGGAATCGAGGACCTAGGAGAGATGAGATGTCAAGAGCAAAATGCGATCTAACCCTTCATAATGAACAAACATGGCACTGTCTCCCCAAGACCCTTAGCCATCCAGAATCAGTGATTTCTGAGAGGCACAAAACAAAATTCACATTTTCCTGACCGTGGCAGTTGAGAAATGTTTTTGGGTGCTTTGGCAGGGACTGAGGCCAGAGGCAGTGACAGCTCTGTCCTGCAGTTTATCCAGACCCACAGAATAAACCACAGCAGCTCTTCCTTCTGCAGTTTCTCTCTAGAAACACTTCCCTACTCTCTCACCCAATTGCCCTGGCAATTCTGCCTCAGACCTCTGCACATGCACTCCCGGTCACCAGGGTCATTGCCGAAGAAGAAAGGAAGTGAGAGGAGACGAAAGAAGGGAGGAAGAAAGAAAGGGAAAGATGGAGAGGGGGATAGAGACAGGGAGGGAGGCGAGGAGGGAGGAAGGGAGAGAGGGAAGGGGAGGAAGAAAAGGGAGCGATGAAGGGAGGGAGAGAGAGGGAGGAAGAGAAAAGAGGGAGGGAGGGAGGGGAAGAAGTCTTCAAGATAAGACTACATGTTGGTGTCCCCTGAACGTACTTCTCCAAGCAGTGTGCTGCAGTCAGCACCCACTCCGGGGATATCAAAGTGCCTCCACAGAAGTGCCTTCCAGATCTAGAAAGAGAACAAGGCAAGGTTTTAGTGCAGACTGATGGTTCATTATGCTCCACTGTACAGAATGACACATTCACTCCCTATTGGTAATGTGATATTTCCAAAGGAGAAGGCTACCAGACCAGCCTCAGGGTGTTATAGCTTTGAACCATGCTGTGGTCGTGGGCACACCTAGACCACTCTTCAAGATGGCTGGGATAGAGGTACAGCTCAGCCATGGGACAACAAAGCCTATGTCATGGCCCTGGCTTTAACCCGGCAACCCTGGACTCCAAAGGAAGTGATCAGCCAAAGACCTTCCCTCCAAGTCTCTCTACACAGGAGCTGATGAACCCCTCCTCAGGAGCCAGGTATAATTCTGAGCAGAGGGATTCTTGGGAGTCTCCTGATCCCACCTGGGAAACTCTCCCTTGTGGGGATGTCTCCCAAATCACCTACTTTATGGGACTGTATAGGCATACAGCAGTTGATAAGAATGTTGTGACAGCTGGGCATGGTGGCTCACACCTATAATCCCAGCACTTTGGGAGACCGAGGTAAGAGGATTTCCTGAGCCCACAGGTTTGAGACCAGCCTGGGCAACTTGGCAAGACCTCATCTCTACAATAAATCAGTAATTAACGGGGCATGGTGGCATGCACCTGTGGTTCCACCTACTTGGAAGGTCGAGGCTGCAGTGGCTGTGAGCGTGCCACTGCACTCCACCCTGGGCAACAGAGTTAGACTCCAATTAAAAATAAAATAAAATAAGAAAGAAAAAGAAAAGTGTGACTATGCAGCCACACACACACACAAAATTATGTCCTTGGCAGCAACATGGATGGAGCTGGAGACCATCACCCTAAATGAACTGACTCACAAACATTTTCTTACTCATATGCGGGAGTTAAATGGTACCCCAAAAGGAAATAATAGACACCAGGGACATCAATAAGGGGGAAGGTGAGAAGTTGATCAGGGTTCATAAATTACTTATAGGACACAACGCTCACTATCTAGGGAACGGGTCCCCTGAGACCCAAGCCCCACCACTACACTTGGGTCTCAGGGGGCCCATTCCGTGTAATGAACACGGATGCATATTTCCTGGATCTAAAACAAAAACAGAAGATGTAAGCCACTCAAAACCAGATGACAATGACAAGGGGTATGGATATTAAGTGCATGACCACAGCAAGCTGACACATTGGTCGGGACAAGTCCTCCGGCATAGTTGGGGAAAAGCGAATTTGAAATATGCAGAGAGTGAAATCTCTCTATACGAAGGAGTCACTAAACGACACGGTAAAGAAAAATTCATGCAACAACAGAGTGAAATACAACGTAGTCAGGTTCACGAATGGCATTGTACAAGCTTGTGGAGGAAGGAGCTTCCATGATGAGCAGTGACCACACGAGCCGGGGAAGCACAATACAAGCAGATGAGCCTGTGCTGTGTGTGCTTCCTAAGAGATACTCCAGAAAATGGAACTTGCCGAAGGCACATTCCACGGAAATGGTAGCCCCAAGCGCCCAGGTTCTGTGGGATTAGACTGATCACTCTTAAACTATGGTGAGTGTGAACTATAATTTGTCCATGTGTTTGTGAATGGGTGAGTAGCCTCTGCGTTCAATTGCATTATTCCAAAAAGTCTAAAAAAAAAATCTGCACCTCCGAGAGCCTGCAGATAATTCTCTCCTTACCCCCAACCCACCCCACAAAGTATCATATTTCTAGAAATTTCCTTTCCTTTTCATTTTACAGAAGACAATGGATAGCTATATAAACCTCAAAGCATCTTCGATATTTTTCCAGCAATATCAGAACCTGGTGTAGATTACTGCATCTGCAGATTAAGAAGAAAAAATCCAATTCTGGTCATTTTCAAAGTAGAGAACCTGGGGGCAAATTTTTATTTCTATTTTTACAGTTTTTCTTTCCTCCTTGGGAGACTATAGAGGCAGACATGCAACCCTGGCCATGTGGGTTTGGTGTCAATGTGGAAAGGTTTTGAGGAGCTCACAGAGAAAAGGGCACAAGTCATTTCTGGATGGTTCTTACCTCGTTCTGAGACTGACTTGCCAGGGCCAGGAGTGTGGGTGGGCTACACACCCACCTACCACTCTTCCAGGACATTTCTTGGGCTCCACTTGAGGCTTTCCGCATTCAAAGGAAGAGATCGCTGTGGTGCAAAGTGGGGAAAGTCACAATTGAGCCAAAGGTGGCACTTCTGTCATATAATGCAAGACAAGTTCAAGGCTCATGGCCAAACACCAAATTTGTGACATCACAAAGCCCTGATCAGATGGCAAAAAACCCAAGCATATTTTGAAACATTTTCTCTAAGTTTCAAAAGTGGTGGTAGACAACCCTCCCTTTCAAGGACATGTAAGAACTTTTTATTATTTTGTTGAAGTTAGGGTTAGGGTTAGGGTTAGAATTAGGTTGCTGTTGAGAATATGCATTGGCGTCGCTTGGCGTTTGTTGAGACCTTTACTGATTGACACGAATGGTGAATTGTAGTTGTCATTCTAGCTCAATGTGGTATGTTAGAGCCTGCATCATCCTTCATCATCATCATCATCATCCTCACTGCCATCTACACCATGTGAAGTATACTAAAAACTCTAGTTGTCATTCCCGTGGAAAGGCACCAAGGGTATTTTTTTCCATGTGAATTTCTGTGTGTGCGTGAATTGCATGTGTGTGTATGTGATTGTATGTATCCTTAGCTGAAATATTGCCTTCTCCCAGCCAACTTCAGGGCAACTCTTCCAGGAAGCCTCCCATGTCTAACCCAACACCATGGGCGTGATTTACACACATAAGTCTTTATTCTCCTCTCATCTACTACCTGCCCTCCCTCCCAACCAACTTGCAAGGTCCCAGGAGAGCAGGTTCATGCCCCACCATTAATACCACCCCCTAATGCCTAAAGCAGCTTAGGGGCCACAAAGCGTGTTCAAAAGTGCTCATCCGTGGTCTGCAACCCTTCAGGGTCTTCAGGAATATACATGTGAGCCGCTGTTAATAACAAATGCAAGAGAAAATTCTGTCCATCTTAATCACCCAGAGTTTCTACACTCCAGTGAATCTGGAATCTGAATTTTCCAAGTAACTTTTCATTTGCCATGGTCTGTTCTGAGAATCTATATAGAGAAGTCTTTTGGAAAAGGAAGCCTGGTCGGGCACAGTAGCTCAATCTGTAAGCCCAGCACTTTGGGAGGCTGAGGCAGACAGATTGCTTGAGCCCAGGAGTTTGGGATCAGCCTGGACAACACGGCGAAGCCTCATCTCTACAAAAAATTTAAAGGTTAGCTGGGCGTGGTGGCACATACCTGTAGTCCCAGCTACTTGGGATATTGAGGTGGAAGGATTGCCTGAGCCCAGGAGGACGAGGCTGCCATGAGCCATGATCATCATAATCATGCCTCTGCACTCTAGCCTGGGTGTTAGAATGAGACCCCAACTCAAATAAAATAAAAACAAAAACTAGAGTAAAATAAAATAAGAAGCCTGGACTTCTAACAAACTCCTTCTCTCTAATGCTGATTACTGGACACAGTTTCCATCAGCATGCCTTACACAGAGTAGATGCACATCAGGAACCAGAAGCATCTCTACAAAGATGATGGCCCCTGATCTCTATATTCAAAACAAAAACGAAGGTTTCTATTTGCTTTTATTTCCTTATTATTTGTACTGAGTGTGCTGGTGGAAATGAGACAGAAATCACTCACTACCAGAGGCTTCAGCTTTCTCAAGCATGAATTGGGCCTGGGTATCCCACCCACCACATCCTTCTGGGGAAACAGGTCTTGAGACCACCAAGTGTCTGCTGGGAGCCCGTCTCACCAAGTTTGGGGTTCACCTCTCTCGCCTCACATCAAGATGAGGTGCAGAGACCTCACAGCCTATAGAAAAAAAGATCTTCCCTTGCTTACTTCTTTCTCCAATCTCTAAGAACCTGGTTCTTGTATATCCTCAGGATGGGTGAAGATTCCAGAATCGCACCAGGGAAGTTACTGCATTTCCCTTCCAAGATAATCCAAGGTGCATGAGTCCCAGGCACAACTGCAGGGTCTGAGGCAGGAATGTCAGCCTGGGCTGTACTTCTAGGTAATCTGTCAAGGATGAAGAGCCTGGAGGGGAAAGGCAGTGGGGTATGCCAACCAAGGCAGAAGTGGATGGCAGGCACTGACCCATCAAGGCACTTGAGGGTGGAGGGGCCCTCGCAAGAGTTTCTGCAAAGCAGACACAAAAGCACCAGCTAGAGAAAAAGTCAGCTATCCACTTGCTGAACCTGGAGCGCACGACGTCATCTTACAACAATGTCGGCTAGGCAGAATCTTCCTTATCACCCTCACCTCCTTCCTTCCTCCTCTCTGCCTGAGAGCAGTCCAAATGCAAACCTAGGCAGCATGGCTTCCATGGTCTAACCACTACCCTAAACTGCCTCCCCACACAAACTTGGGAAGTTGGTCTTCAATGGTTTTGGAAGTCAAGCTCCTTCCCCCTCAGAGCTCAAGGACTCTCCACATGGTGGACACAAACCACAAGCCATCAAACTGTGCAAAGGAGAAGTTCAGAATGGTTTGCTGTAATTGGAACAAGTTCCGTTAGTAAAAACTGCTCAGCAAAAAGTGAAACAGGCCAAGTCCAAGTGGCTTATATTTTTTACTCCAGAAATACCCACGAATTTGTATATTCCAATCTTTCAGTAGCAAATGTTAACTCCTCTTCCCCTGATCCAAGACTCTTATTCCCTAGAAGAATCTTGGAGCAATGAGGAGGCACCCAAACAGACTGTCTCTAAGTTACACGTCTAATGTGTGGCCAATGAGTGGTCAGTCATCTTAGGAGAAAGGCAATTTGGGATTAAATCAAGATCTGCAGTATTTTCCATTGAATTCTTAGGATGCAGTGTATAGGTTTATAATGTACAGTAGAACCTCGGTTGTTTTCTGAGGTTTGTGCTTTCTTTCTTGCTTCTCAACTGCCGAAGGGGGAAGTTTCCCATCTGTATTAACTACATTTGTTGTTCATGCTTCCCAAGCTAAACCTTGACGATCTCAGTGGGGTCCTTCAGGGTTGATCAGATCACCTCTAAGCTTGCTCCTTGGGGATTTTGTATTATGTTTATTGAAGCTTTGTGTATGGGGGTGGGGGGAATCCCCTCACAAATGGGGCTAGTAGCAGGTCCAGCTCAAGATGCCAGTAATCTTGAGGACAGGGCTCGGGAGAGGAGAGTGGCCACCTCCTGCCCAGAGACACTCAGTTCAGAAACGCTTTTTCTTTTTTTATTGCAGATTCATATTAAAGAAGCTTGCTTACAAAAAATAAAAAGCAACTTACCACACTGAGGGACGTCACAATAATCAAAAAGTTTTCTTGGGTTCATCGTGTAGCACCAGGGACCATTGACATCACCATCAGGATTTCGGCAGTACTGAAAACAAGCAAGCATTAAGACCTGGCTCACAGGGGCAGGAGATGGGAAAGGTGTCCTGGTACACAGACCCTTCACTTTCATCCTTAGAAGATGAAAGGGTATGGCGGGGCCCAGTGGCTCAAGCCTCTAATCCCAGAGCTTTGGGAGGCCATGGTGAAAGAATTGCTCGAGACCAGGGGTTTGAGACCAGCCTGGGCTATTTGGTAAGAGCTCATCTCTACAGTAAATCAAAAACTAGCTGGGCGTGGTGGCTCACGCCTGTAGTTTCAGCTGCTTGGAAGTCTGAGGCAGAAGAATCACCTGAGCCTAGCAGATCAAGGCTGTGGTAGCTGTGATTATGTCACTGTACTCCAGCCTGGGCAGCAGAGTGAAACGCCAATTCAAAAAGATGAAAGAGGGTGTTTCTTTTATTTGTTTTTTTTTTTGGCAAAGTTTTTTTTTTTTTTGAAAGCTCCAAAGCCATTGGTCATGTCCCCTTGTTCAAAAGGAGTTACATCCACTCCCCTGGACAGAGGATGGTGACTCTGAAGAGTCTTCTGAGAATGGGCATCCCTTCCAAGTGTCTGAGCCAGGGGGTCTTAGAGCCCTAGAAACAGAGGATGGTGGGACATCATTGACTTTCTGTGTCCCTGGTTGGCTTCCATGATCTTCTATATTATGAGGTCTGCTTGCTGTTGATTCAGAAACGCTTATTTCTAAGGACTGTGTGCCCGCCAAGGATCAAGACACAGAAGGGCTTTGACTTCCTCTTACCTTCCTGTGATATTGTGATAGAATATATATATCTGGTTTCTGCCTCCCCAGTTCCTAAATCCCTTGGAATCTCCTGGGTGATAGGAGCATCTTTTGTTCTACTGAAGCAACATTTGGTGGGCTGCTGGATTGCCTCAGGGTGAGGGCTGGTTGCCAGGGGAACCAACGACATAATTAGGGGATTGGAACTGTCCAGTCCCACCCTCCAGCCTCCAGGGATAAGAGACGAGCTGAAGGCTGAATTGGCCACCAATGGCCAATGATGCAATCAATCATGACTACATCATGAAGCCTCCATAACACCCCAAAAGGACTGGTTTGGAGAACTTCCAAATAGCTGAGCCCTTGAGGATCCAAGAGAGTGGCTCACTGGAGAGGGCATGGATGCTTGAGCCCCTTCCCACAGGCCTTACCCTATACATCTCTTCCACTTAGCTATTCATCTTCATAAGATCTTTTTAAACAAATGGGTAAATATAAGTAGAGTTCTTTCTTGAGTTCTGTGAGCTGTTCCAGTAAATCAATCAAACCTGAAGAGATGTTCATGGATTTATACAGATTTATAGCCGGTTGGTCAGAAGTACAGGTCATAACTTGGAACTTATGACTGTCATCTGAAGTTGGGGCAGTCTTGTGGAACTGAGCCCTTAACCTGTGGGATCTGACACTATTTCCAGGTAGGTGGTGTCAGGATTGAGTTAAACTGAAGGTGACCCAGCTGGTATCTTCTGGTGAACCACTTGACACATGTGGGGAACCCTCCATGCACTTGGTGTCTGTGTTACGTTGAGTGTAACATAACACAGGGGAAACAGTTTGGTTTTTCCTTGATCTCAGACTTCCCTAGATGTATCCTCCGAAGAAAACCATCCCAGAGAGTGTATGAGACTAGGAGAAATCCTGCTGTAGGATTTTGGTGGTATAGCCCATTTTTTTCTGGAAAAATCTGACTAAAATGTCACAAAGGGCTTCTTTGACCACTAGAACCTACAAGACAAGTACTAGAAACTAGAAATGGCACATAGTAATGGAAGCAGATGACAAGAAACATCACCAACAGAAACAGGAGGCCCAAGAAGGGGAACCATGACCGTGGATGTCTGCTTGCTGCATTTCCCATGCCAATGCCAACGTCAATGATATTTTAGGCTTAGTCCCCTGAAATCTCTGGATTTTTCCTCCCCTCCCGCTCCCCACAACAGACCAGGCAGATCTTCTGTAACACAGAACCAATTCTGTTTGCATAGATTGGTTGGCAGAAGGCAACGGAGACTCAAAGCGGCTTACGTTTTTTTCCAGACCCGCCCGTGGGTTTGTCATTGGAGTGAAAATGCTGTGTCTGTGGGGCTCCTGGGCAGCCCATTCCTGGCATGGAGTCCCTGTGACTGTGGTCGCCCTCTTGCCCCGATATTTTTTACCGTTCCCGAACATACAGTCTGTAGGAGAGAAAATAGGTGGTTATGTGCTGCTACATAGACCCAGAACAATATAGAACAAATGCTGTTGTGTGAGGTTTCTCTGAGATGACAGATTCAGGGAATCACATCCCTCAGAAATTGGGATGCTGAAGATTGCAATAAACACTGCCTATGTGCGTGGAATTTTTTTTTTAATTGGAGTCTCGCTCTCTTGCCTAGGCTGGAGTGCTGTGGCACACTCATGGCCCACTGTAGCCTCGACCTGCTGGGCTCAGGCAATCTTTCCATCTCAGCCTTCCAAATAGCTGGAACTACAAGTACACACCACCAAGCCCAGCTAATATTTTTTTTATTGTAGAGATGAGGTCTCACCAAGTTTCTCAGGCTGGTCTCGAACCCCTAGACTCAGGCAATCCTCTCGCCTTGGCATCCCAAAGTGCTGGGATTACAGGCTTGAGTCACTGCACCTGGCCTTTTTTTTTTTTTTTTGTCAGATTATTACTCTATTTCCCAGGTTGGAGTGCAGTGGCACAATCACAGCTCACCTCAGTCTCAATCTCCTGGGTGCAAACGATCCTCCCACCTCAGCCTCCTGAGTAGCTGGGACTGTAGATGCACACCACCACGTCTGGCTATTTTTATTATTATTATTTTTCATTTTTTGTAGAGATGAGATCTGTGTTGCTCAGGCTGGTCTTGAATTCCAGGGCTCAAGCAATCCATCCACCTCAAAGTGCTGGGATGACAGGCATGAGCCACCAGGCCTGGCACAACACTGTCTATTTTTAAGTTACTGGAAACGCTTCTTGGCTTGGAAATAATCATAAATGTGGTGGGATGCTAGAATAGGAATTTTGGTTAAGGCACTAAAATAACAAGTTTTATACCAAGGTGAGTGGTGAGTCAGCACCCTGGAGTGTCTGCACCAGTCCTGAAGACACCGCCCACCCACCCACGTTGTGGACACACTAACAGCTCAGACTCTCCCATAGAGGGCGCTAAAGCCTGCCTCCACTTGGCAGAGCCACAACCAACACTCGTGTTCCCCGTAGCACCGAAGCCTTCAGCATCAGGAAGGTTCTCCATCTCTTTTCATCCCCGTGTCTGAGTGTGGAGATGCCTGGCCACAGACTTCTTACCCTCCTCAGAAGGAGCCTCCATGCTTGGAGCCTGGGGTACCGTCGGAGGCCCTGCGACACTGCCTTCTGTTTCTGAGCATTTCTTCAGGTTACAGTACTCCCACCTGACGCTTGGGTCAGTGGTGTAACACCAAGGGCCATTATCACCGTCAGGATTCCTGCAGTAGTTCATTTCTAAGCCACTGCAAATCCCAAAACAATGAAGGTCACCACAAGTGGGAGAAACTTCAGGGGTGCCCAGCACCCCCTAAATTTTTTTTTTAATCACAAAATGTGAACAAGTGACTTTGAAATATTCCCATTAAAAGTACAGTAACATTGCCATGGGCATAAACAGTCCTTAACTTCTGAACAACTGTGCACATTACAAAGATAGATTATAATTTTTATTTTAAACAATCAAAAGTAATGTGTGCTCCATATCAAAACTGAGATTATACATAAATGTGTAAAAGAAAGTATCAGAATATCGTTTGTCCTCATTCTGCCAAATACATGTATTTTAGTGGCCTAATGCACAAACAAACCTATCTGTATCTATCCTCTGTATATGACCAAGCATATTTCCCCAAGAAAGAAATGACATTCACAATGATAACTTGCCCGGGCTAGCCCTCTTAGTCTATTTAGTCACAGTGTAGCTAAAATGCTCATGTAAGTGATATTGTAAATATGGCCTCAGGTAGATCAAGTGGGTTTGGTTTGAAAGGCTTGTAGAAGCTGCCCTGGAAAACTAGCCACCCGCAGGAGGTCGCTTTTCTAGACTGCATCCATGGACCAGAGTCCCTCTCCTGCTCTCGGTCCATCCCTTACTGGTACAGCTGCTTGGGGACTGAGGGAATGGGGGATGGGATTAAAGAACAAATGGCTGGATCCAAGGGATGCAGGGAGACGGCTGAGTAGATTGAGGATCTCAGGGAGGGGGGTGGTGTCTGATGCTGGATTGTTTCTCTTTGTGTTTGTCTAGCTTTTTGCCAATATGTCAGAAAGTCTTTAAATTAGAGTCTGTCAGTCTCTTTTTACAAATTGTCTTGATGACTCTAGCATATACATTTTATTACTTTAGAAAAACAAAGATGGCTGGAATTCTGCATTCTGTCTGAGCATGGGTTAATTGCAAGGATTGGTTTGATAAGAATTGATACTGAGATTTTTAACCCATAAACACGGATATCATGACTTAGATCTTTTAAACTTTTTCTCAACGATGTTTTATAGTATGCTGTGCATAGTTCTTGTGCATGTAGTGGTAAATTTATCACAAAATATTTTGTAATTGTGGTACTATTGCTAGTAATATGACTTTTTAAATTTATTATTATTATTATTATTAGAATCAGAGTCTACTCTGTTGCCCAGACTAGAGTGCAGAGACAAAGTCTTGACCTCCTGGACTCAGGCAATCTTTCTGCCTTGGCCTACTAAATAGCTGGGATTACAGGCATACACCATCACACCCTGCTAATTTAAAAATTTTTTTTTTTTTTTTTATTTAAGAGATGAAGTCTCCTTGTGTTGCCTACGCTGGTCTTGAACTCCTGGGCTCAAGCCCACCTTGGCCTCCCAAAGTGCTGGGATTACAGGCATGAACCACCGTGCCCAGCCAGTGATAGGATTTTTAAATTTTTGGTTTTCAATTGATCATAGTTAGTGTATAGAAATACAACTAATTTTTATATATTAACCATTATATACTGTTTTATTCTGCAAAATTCACATATTAGTCTTTAGGATTCTCTGCATCCATTAATCAAGTTTTCTGTGAATAAAGACAGTTTTGCTTCTTCCTTTTCAAATGTTTACTTTATTTTTATTTTTTGGTCTTGTGTTGTTAGCTAGAGGGTTTTTGTAGTTGCCCTTGATTAGTTTAAAAAACTTCCATTCTATTCCTAGTTAGTTGAGACTTTTTATCGTGGGTGAATGTTGAATTTTGTAAAAATTTTCTTCTGCGTCTATTGATGTAATCATGTGATTTATCACTTTTATTCTCTTAAGTTGGATGACATTGATTGTTTGTGTAAATGTTAAACTAACCTTGCATTCATGAAAAGCTCCACTTTTTCATGATGATCATCATGTTGATTATAAAAATATTTTTATATATTGCTGAATTCAATGTTTTAATTGTTGTTAAATTTTTGTGTGTTTATATCCACAACAGATAATGTTCTACAATTTATTGAAATATCCTTGTCTACTTTTTTGGATATGGATATTTTTGTCTTCATGAATTGAGTTGAGAAGTGTTCCTTCCTCCTCTGTTTTCTGCAACAAATTGTGAAGGATTTATTGCCTCATTAATACTTGATAAAATTTCCAATGAAGCCATCTGGGTCTAGAGTTTTCTCTGTGGGAAGTTTTTTTATTTATTAAAATATATTAGTATATAAAAGAATATATACACATATTTTCTTTAATATATAACAGACTGTTTAGAAGTTCAATTTATTCAGTGTCTGATTTACTTGTTAGTTTTTTTCTTAAGGAATTAGTCCACATTATTTAGGTTGTTGAATTTATTAACATAAAATAGCTCTTTCTTTTTTTTTTTTTGAGTAGGAGTCTCAATCTGTGGCCCAAGTTGGACTGCAGTGGCACAATCATGGCCACCATAGCCTCAAACTGCTGGGCTCAAGTTCAGTCTTCCAAGTAGTTAGAAGCACAGATGTGCCCCATCATGCCCAGCTAATTTTTTGATGTACTATAGAGATGAAGTCTTTCCAAGTTGCCCAGGCTGGTCTTGAACCCCTGGGCTCAGGCAATCCTCTCACCTCCGTGTCCCAAAGTGCTGGGATTACAGGTGTGAGTCACTGTGCCTGGCCATAAAGTTGTTTTTAATATTTTCTTATTATCTTTTAATGCCTATGGGATCCTGTAGTGATGCCTCCTCTTCTCTTTTATTCCTGATGCTGATGATTGTGTTCTCTCCTTTGTTTGTAATTAGTTTGGCCAGAGTTTTATCAACCACATTAGTATTTTCAAATAATTGACTTTTTTGTTTCATTGATTTATTCAATTGTTTGTTTATTTTCTTTTACATTGAATTTAATTTATTTTTGTTATTTTCTTACTTCTGCTTACTTGGGTTTTATTTGCTTTTCTTTTTCTAGATTCTTAAGTTGTTATCTATGTCAACGGTTCTCAAAGTTTTTGGTCTTAGGACCCCTTTACACTCTCAAAAAGTATTGAGGATCCCAAAGAGCTTTAGTTTTTATATATTTATACACTATGAATATATATTGTATTAGAAACTAAAATTAAGACTTTATTAAAACACAATCACATATTGTATTAGCCATGAGAGAGATGATATCATGATATCTCATGTAGCCCCTGGAAAACTCCATTGTGCTATTATGAGAAAATGAAAGTGAAAGGGGAAAATAATACCCTTTTTAACTGAAAATGTTTTAAATTCATAGACTCTCTGGAGGAATCTCAGGAATCCCCAAATTTCTCCAGACCATGCTTTGAGAGTATCTGGCTTAAGTTATTGATTCTTAATGTTTCTATTTTTTAATAAGAGCATTTAAAATTATAAAATCATAAAAATATTAGCTGTATCCCATAACTTTTTATATAAAATCATAAAAATATTAGCTGTACCTCATAACTTTTTTTGTTTTTGTTTTTGTTTTTTTGAGTTGGAGTCTCACTCTGTCACCCAGACTGGAGTGCAGTGGCCGCTCCCGGCCACCGCAGCCTCGACCTGCTGAGCTCCAGCGATCCTTCCGCCTCAGCCTTCCAAGTAACCGGAATTACAGGCATGTGCTACCACGCCCGGCTGATTTTTTTGATTTATTGTAGAGATGAGGTCTTGCTGCCCAGGCGGGTCTCGAACCCGCGGGCTCAGGCAATCCCCTCACCTCAGCCTCCCAAAGGCGCGGGATTACAGGCTGAGCCACCAAGCCCAGCTACCGCATAACTTTTGATATAGTGTGTTATTATTATTCAGTTCAAAACATTTCTAGATTCCTTTGTTATTTCTTCAATTCATAGATTATTTAGAAATGTGTTAAGCTCCAAATATTTGAAAATTTTTCAATTTGTTATTTATATATCATTTAACTCTGTTGTGAGAAAGCATACTCTGTATTATTTTAATTATTTTAAATCTATTAAGACTTGTTTTAAGGCCAAGCTTATGGTATACCTTGGCAAATGCTCCATGTACATGAATGTGTGTTCCATAATTTGGTATAGTGAATAGGTTTTGAATAGGTTGATATTTTTCTTTAAACCTTCTATTTATTTTCTGATTTTTAAAAATCTATTAGTTCCATTATAATTTGTTTGGGGAGGATTTATCACTATACTGAGAGAGAAGTGAAGAAACCTCCAACTATAATTGTGGGCTTATCTATTTTTCTCCTTAGCTCTGTCAGTTTTTGTTTCATATATAGGAAGCACTATTATTAGGATGCAACATGTTTAGCATTGCTAAGTCTTGATGAATGATCCTTTTTAAATTATAAAATGTCCTCTTTTGTTTTTTGGTTTGTTTGTTTGTTTGTTTGTTTGTTTGTTTTTACTCTGTCTTCCAGGCTGGAATGCAGCAGCATGATGTTAGTTCACCATAACCTCCAGTTTCTGGGCTCAAGAGACCCTCCTGCCTCAGTCTCCCAAGAGGCTGGAACCATCAGCATGTACCACCATGCCTGGTTAATTTTTTTGTAGAGATGAGGTCTTGCTATGTTGCCTAAACTGGCCTTGAACGCTTGGCCTCAAGCGATTATGGAGCCTCAGCCTCCCAAAGTGCTGGAATTACAGGCATTAGTGACCACACCTAGCCTTGAAATGTGCTTTTTATCTCTGATATTATTTCTTGTCTTGAAATTTGCTTTCTCTAATATTAATATTACCACTCCAGCTTTCTTTCGATTCATGTTTTTATGGTATATTATTTTTTATTCTTTGGTTTTTAATCTATGTCTTAATATTTAAAGAGTATCTATTAAAAGGAAAAACACAGTTGGGCTTTGGTTTTTATTAAACTTGACAATCTCTGTTTTTTATTTGATGAGTTTCATTCTTTTACATTTAATGTACTTATGATGTGGTTCAGCTTGTCTGTAAATATGTTTATACCATATTTCTTTACTCTTTTTTCTTCCTTTCCTTTTTTCTTTTAGATAAACTGAATATTCTTATTATTATCTATTTTTCTAAGTTTACATTTTTGTGGTTGCTCTAGGATTTATAATATCCCTCGTTAACCTACCACTTTCAACCATGTATTAAAATTACATAACTCCTTGGATAATTAAAGAAACCTACAATAACATACTTCCATCTATTCTCTACATTATTTATGCTACTGTTTTTAAAATTTTACTTTAACATATGTTAAAATAACAATACATTGTTATCATTTTGCTTTGAGTAGTCAATTATCTTTTAAAGAAGGAATGAAGAGAAAGTCTTCTACATTTACTTTCACCATTTCCAGGGTTCTTCATTACTTAGTGTAGGTTTCCATATGGTATTATTTTTTCTCCTACCAAAATGCCTTCCTTAATGTCTTTTACTATATAGGCCTGCAAATGAAAAATTATTTTAGTTTTTTGCTTGTTTGTTTGTTTTGGGAGCAAAATATGTATTTATACAACATTCATTTTCAAGGTTTTTTTTGGCTGGATATAGCATTCTAGGTTGGTATTTTTTTTCTTTTTATCACGCTTTAAAAATTTTATTCCATTGTTTCTGGCTTGCATAGCTTCTGATAAGAAGGCATCAGTTATTTTTAATCACTGTTCCTCTTTATAAATGCATTTCTCTCCACCCTGACTTTTAATAAGATTTTTCTTGTTATCTTTGTTTTTTGATAATTTAACTATGATGTTTCTAAGTAAATAGTTTCATTTTGTCTTTTAATTCTATTTCTAATTCATTGATCTTCTTGAATCTGTGAGTTTATAATTTTCTCAATATTTGGAAAAATTTCAACTATCATTACTTCAGATAAATTTTGTGTCCAAATGTTTCTGTCCTCTCCTTCTGTGACTTGCTTTACCATATAATAAATCTTTTGAACCAGGCATGGTGGCTTATGCCTGTGATTCTAGCACTTTGAACTACACTTTGGACAACGTGGTGGATTGCTTGAGCCCAAAAGTTTGAGACCAGCCTGGGCAAAATTTCGTCTTTATAAAAAATAAAAAATTAGCCAGGTGTGGTGGTATATGCCTGTGGTCCCAGCTACCTGGAATGCTTGATCTGAGCCCAGGAGGTCAAGGCTGCCATGAGCCATAATTGTTTTTTGTTTTGTTTTCTTTTGTTTTTGTTTTTGTTTTTGAGTTGGAGTTTCACTCTGTCACCCAGACTGGAGTGCAGCGACCGCTTCCGGCCACTGCAGCCTTTACCTGCTGGGCTCCAGCAATCTTTCCGCCTCAGCCTTCCAAGTAGCTGGAACTACAGGCGCACACTACCACACCCGGCTAGTTTTTGATTTATTGTAGAGATGAGGTCTCGCCAAGTTGCCCAGGTGGGTCTCGAACCCGCAGGCTCAGGCAATTCACTCACCTTAGACTCCCAAAGCGCGTGATTACAGGCTAAGCCACCGAGCCCAGCTGAGCCATAATTGTTATGATCATGCCACTGCACTCCAGCCTGAATGACAGAGTGAGAACTTGACTAAAAAAAAAAGCTTTTGATATGTTTATGGACATATCTGCTTGTTTTGTAAGTCTGTGTGTATGTGTGTACTGCATTTGTACAGCTTCAATTTAATTATTTTATAGTTAACATTTTCTTCTGTAAACCTAACCTGATGGTAAGGCCATTCACATAATTTTTCACTGAAGGTACATATTTATTTTTTTAGTTTTTAAATTTCAATTTGACTCTTTTATAATTTTTCTATCTCTTATATTTGTTGCTTTTATATGTATATTCTTTTAAATCCTTGAAGACACTTACATATTTTAGTTTTTTTCTGACAATTCCATCATTTGTATTATTTCTGGATCTGTTTTGATTGATCTTTCGTCCGGTTATGGATTGCATTTAATACTTTTTGTATGTTTAGTATATTTTAAAATTTATGTCAGACTCTGTGGATGCCACATAGCTAAGCAACTTGATTTTGTTTTTTACCTCTAAAGAGTGTTGAGTTTTTTTGTGGCAGGCAGTTAATTTACTTAGAGATCATTTTTATCCTTCTAGACTTACTTTTAAGCATTGCTGGAGCATTTCTGGCAACAAATTTCCTTTATTCTATGAATACATTAATCTGACTCCTAAAGCATGGCTTTTCTGGGGTCTCTACTGAATAGCCAAGATATTTAATGAAAGTCTCTTTTCTCTTTTCTCTGGCTAGTCAGAATTCAAATACCTCTGTATGCTGGGTGAGTTGCGTGATCTCCATTTAGCTCACTGCTCCCTGTTCTTTCCCCCAATAGTTCTTCTTTACCCCACTTTCTTTGTGGAAACTCTCCCTGTGCATGTGAGGTTTTATATTCTGCCAAAGACTTGAGAAAACCTCAATGTATATTTCTGGAGCTCCTTCTCTCCACAGATCCCTTCTATTATTACCCAGCCTAGAAAATTCCATCTGCTCTAGAGATCCCAAACTCTAGTCTCTTTCGTCCATCTCCTTGCACGAATGATAGTGAGCCTATAATTTATCATCTCTCAAACATTTTGATCAAAAGTACGTCTTCTGAGACATCTTGTTTCATATTCTGTATCCAAGAAAAATTTGAGCCTAAGAAGTTAGCTTAAAGCATGACTCTTCTAACAGAAATTTAAGTTGATGGTTGCTCCTCTTATAGTTAAAATTAAAGACATACGCATTTGGGTAATTTTCTGCAGTCTTGTCATGCCAGTGGGGTCTCATAGATGACCAAGATTGACACTTCTTTCCTGTGATAGTGGTGGAGGATGTGCCTCGATAGCTCTGTCCGTTACCATGGTAGCACTCCTGGACCACAGGGGTTTGTTCAGGTGGTGCTGAAGTTAAAATAGAGGAAATCAAGCAGAATAATGACTGGAACAGAGAAACATGTGAAGCAACGTATAACACAAATAATATAGCAGTCTCTGGGAATTGCTGCTGTTCTTAGCAGGCAGTTGGACATGCAAAACAAACAGTAGATTCATAGCATTTTAGAACTTTAATAACCTAACATTTCTTGGAAATATTTAATTTAAGGCTTAAGGGGAAATATAAACAGGTCAGAGTACTTATAATTGAAAATTGCATTCAGGTGCAAGTTCTTTTTTATGAGTCTCTACCAGGTATTCATGTGAACAATAGGGAAGGTAGAGCATTTATCTACTTCCATCAAAAACTGAGCATTGAGGAGTAAGAAACAGCAGTCTGATCAAGTATATGGAGAAAGACCCTCTGTGGTGCAGGCATACAGTGGCTGCTAAAGTCTGAGAGTGGGTCAGAAACACAGAGAGGTCTCTTCAGCACACCAGGCCCCACTCCAAATAAAACGTAACAGCAGCCCATCACTGGAGGAATTCAAAGCCTATGGTGCACTTAAGGTAAAAAAATAGTAGCAAGAAAGCTCAAATTCAGTTCAACTTCTGACTAGATTGATTCAGTTACCTACACAATCTTGAGCACCTTTCAAGAATAAATCATAGTTATCATAATCTCCACTATTCATTGATTTATGGCCTCCAGCATTTGATTAAAAATTACAAGAGACGTCAAAAAAGGTCAAGAGGAAAAAGCTATTGTTGAGTAACAAAGCAATCAAGAGAGCCAGGCTTCAAGATGGCTGTATATCTGATTGGAATTGTAAGATAATCATGATTCATATGTTAAAGGATTTTGTGATAAAGGTGATCAATATGCATGGGAGGTGAAGAATTGCAGCAAAGAGATTGGAACTGCTTTTAAAAGAGTAAAATGAAAATGCGAGAAACAAAAAAAAGCATGATATCAGGGATGAGGAATTCTCTCAATGGGCTGATCAGAAGACTAGACACGACGAGGAGATAATCAGTAAACTTGAAAATAGGTTAGTAGAAATTATCCAAACTGACACACAAAGAAAGAAAAAGAGGAACTGGAAAAACAAAACAAAACAGAATAAGCATTAAAAAGTTATGAAATAGCCCAGGCTTGGTGGTTCTGCCTGTAATCCCAGCACTTTGGGAGGCCGAGGAGAATGGATTGCCTGAGTCTATGGGTTTGAGACCAGCCCAGGCAATTTGGCAAGACCTCGTCTCTACAATGAATAAAAAATTAGCTGGGTTGGGTAGTGCACATCTGTAGTTCTGGCTACTTGGAAGGCTGAGGCAGAAAGGATCACTGGAGCCCAGTAGGTCAATGCTGGGGTGGATGTGAGTATGCCACTGCACTCCAGCCTGGATGACAGAGTGAGACTCCAACTCAAAAAAAAAAAAAAAAAAATTATGAAACAATATGAAAAGGTCTAATATTTGGTACTTGAAGTACAAAAAAGAGAACAAAGAAAAAAATATTTGAACTGATAATGGCTAAAAATTTTACAAACATAACAAAAATCAACAATCCAAAAATCCTGGAAGCTCAGAAAACTTCAAGCAGAATAAATAAAATAATAATCATAAACACATCTAGAGACACCATAGTTAAACTGCTGAAAAACAAAGTTGGGAGAAAGCCCTAAAGGCTGTCAGAGGAAAAAAAATATATTGGACATATAGGAACAAAGATAAAATTTCTACTCACAAACCATTAAAAACAGAAGATAATGAAATATCATCCTTAAAGTAGTGAAAGAAATATAACTTTCAACCCAGTATTTCTATCCAGCAAAATTATATTTAAAATCTGAAGACAAAATAATTTTTCAGACATACAAAAGCTGAAAGATTTTATCAGCAGTAGACCTGTGCTACAAGAAATACTAAAGGTACTTGTTATATGACACCAGATGAAAATTTGGATCTATTAAAAAAAAAAAAAATGAAGAGCACCAGAAATGGTATAATTAATTGAATATATGAAGTATTTTCACCTTTAATTACTTTAAAACACATCTGACCATTCAGGGTAAACATAGTATCTGTGTATTGTGCACTTTATAACACAACTACATTTCTATTAGAGAGAGAAATAGCACATTATTTTGAAAGGGAGAAAATAGAAGTACAATGTTGTAAGGTTCTTGTATTAGACATCAACTAGAATATTATTTAGAGATGGAATGTGACATGTTAAAAGCATATATTGCAAACATTGCGGAAAATACTGAAACCATTACAATTTGATTTAACTAATAAATAAACAATGGAGATAAAATAGAATCACAAAAATGCTCAATCCAAATGAAGGCAAAAAAGATGAAAAAAAAAGAACAAAGTTCAAATAGAGCAAAGAGAAAAAACTAACTTGATAGTAGATTTAAATTCAACCATATTAACAATTACATTAATGAAAATGGCCTAAGCATATCAATTTAAAAGCTGAGAATATATGTATCATACAAACACTAGTGAAAATAGAGTTGCAAAGGCTACAGCAAAAATAGATTTCAGACTTCAGAAAAAGGATTGTTTTCAGAGAAGAGGAGAGATACTACCTAATGATAAAGTAGTTGTTTCATCAAGAAGACATAACAATCCTAAACATGTATGCATCTAATAACAGAGCTTCAAAATATATAAAGCAAAGAGGAGTTAGAATAAAAAAAGAAGCCAGGTGTAGTGGCTCACATCTGTAATTCCAGTACTTTGGGAGACTTGGCAAGACCTCATCTCTACAATAAACCAAAAAATTAGCCAGGCGTGGTGGCATGTGCCTATAGTTTTGGTTACTTGGAAGGCTGAGATGGAAGGATGGCCTGAGTCCAGCAAGTTGAAGCTATGGTGGCTGTGAGTGTGCCACTGTACTCTAACCTGGGTGACACAGTGAGACTACAACCTCCCTCCCCCCAAAAAGAAAGAAATAGACTAACATTCAGTTAAAGTTGGACATGTCACACCATTCATCCTCTAGTAATCAACAGAATAGGAGACAGAAAATCAGTAAGGATATAGCAGATCACTAACAACCAACTTGACCAAATTGGCCGTTAGAGAACATCCTACCCAACAACAGCAGAAATCACATTCTTCTCCAGAGCACATGATATATTCTCCAAGGTGACTATATTCTGATCCGTAAAACAAACCTCAACAAGTTTAAAATAATTGAAATCATACAGAGCATGTTCTCTGACCACAATAGAATTAAACTAAACAAAACTGCTGCATATTGTGATGTTACTACTGCAGTACAAAATAAAGAGCGCAATCAGGCCCTCAGAAGTTCTTATGTCCCTTCTTACCTGAGGCATCCAACTGTTCTGTGGATAACTGGGAGGAATCACAGGATGGTATCTTACAGTACTCCCACCTCACTTCACTGTTGGTTGTGTAGCACCATGGGGCCTTTTCTCCATCTGGGTTACGACAGTAGTTTTCATCCAAATTTCTGAAAAAGAAATGACTATGAATTTGGCTGTCTAAAGAGGCTAAATAAGTAAGGTACACACATGCTTGTTAATGATGATATTGGGTGCATATCCAGCTGATGCTCTAGAATTACAAAAACTGAAGAACAGGGACCAGAAGAAGCTTGTATAGAGCGGGAGTCCACCGAATCGTGGCACAGATATTTCTCTTGGATACATGGTTGAAATGTATTCCTTGATATTGAATGGTCAAGTAAAGGAGGTCTTTTGCTATGTATTGGGAACTGCACAGTGTGCTGGAAATACAGTGAGTATTTTTCACACTGACCTGTCTCTGTAAGTATACGTCCTAGCCATGGGATTTAAGTGTTATCAAGCAGTAGTTCTCAAACCTTACTGCGCATTGAACAGAGGGCTTGTCAAAACATATTGCTGGATTCCAACCCCAGAACTTGTGATTTTAGTACATCTAGAGCAGGGCCCAAGAATTTGCTTTTCTAACAAATTCCTGGTGATACTAATGCTAACAGTCTGGGAAACCACACTTTGAGAACAACTTTTATAGGAAAAACATTGTAGAATTTCACTTCGCTTGCATATGACTTGATCAGTATCCATTCCAGAATACTTTAATCCTGGGTTCCTGTAGTAGCTAAGGCAAAGTCAATGAGGTTTCACATTCCATAGCAGCAGAGAGGGAATGAGACCAGAGAGGACTTACTTGCAGGGGAAGTTTTCTGGTGTCCTGTTGTGTGTGTGAGGGGTCTGTTCATTCCAGCGCTGACACGTGTGCCCGGACACAGTGACGGCCACTGTCCCGCGATAGTTTTCACCTCTTCCCTTCAGACATTGGTAGGTTGGACCAGAAAGTGGAGGGGGTGTTGCTTGAATGCGGAAAATAAATTATAGTGAATATTTTTAAAATAAAGAATGCACAGGTGGGTGCTAGAGAAAGATGGGTACAGGGTGCTTTGGCCTGTCTTCTCTCCCACTCATCCTCTTTCCAAATTTGGCTCCTGAAAATTGTTTAGCATCTTCAGAAGAAACTGACTTAGTAGAATCTAAGCCTGTGAGACCCCTTCAGGAGGAACTCCCCCAGGAATAGACTCTTGGGTAGAAGCTTCTTTCTGATTCTCTTTGTTCAGTTTGCCACACATGGTAAGTATCAATATGTATTACTCCCACCCTGAATTGTTACATAAACCAATGGTCCAAGCTTTCTTATGAAAAATAAGTTATTCACTGAGTAAACATAACTGAATGACACTCAATATGCCATAAAACCAAACAACAGAGAAAGGGTTCCTGGAAAGAAGGCAGCAAATGTTTCCATCCAGAAAGCAAGATGTTCTTGAGAAAATGAAGAAGACAAAGAGAGAAACTGATGTTCACAAAAGGGGAGACTGCCTAAGAAACTTCAGCTTCCCTATGGATGGTTGTTAGAACAAAGGAGGGAAAGCCAGCCCTCCCTGAGTCCTTTTTCACTTTGATGACTGCCTTTCTCTAAATGTTTAGTCCTTTGCTTCAAATTCTCAGAGAAGGAAAATATCATACAAATTGTGTCTTCTGCATCTCTTTTCTAGGTCTACTGTTTCATCTTCTCCTGAACTCTCTTTCCCTGCTGTTCCCCAAGTTGAAAAAACTGGACATTCACAGACTCCTCTTTATTCACAAAGCAACAGTTAGAAAGAATTCTGGTTGGTAATAAAATTCACATACCGGAGAGTGTGTGTGTCATTTCTCTTTAGCAAAGACAAAAGCTGAATATCAACGATATCACTCAAGACCCTGAATTTAAGTATACTCATAAGAGGCAGAGGTCTTTGCTAGAAAAATGGATGCTCTGATCAATTACCTACAGTAACCAAAGCATTGTTTTCAAAGAGCCATAAAATAAAGAGTAATGACTATCCCTCAGGCCTTGCAGGCCACTCTTGAGGTGCCGCTCTCAGGCACTCATTCATGTTTTCTTCTTGATTTCAAGAAAAGAGTTGGTCAAGATCCTAGAATGCTGAGCAGGTGCCCTACTTACTGCAGCGGGGAATGTCACAGAGCTCCCAGCGCTTGTTGGGATTGGTGGTAAAACACCAAGGGCGGGGTTCCCCATCAGGGTTACGGCAGTAATTCATCTTCAAGTTCTTGTTGGGAAATCTGAATGGGCAAGAAAGATTTAAACAGCACTGAACATCTAGATTAATGGATGAGTATCAAGTGAGCAAACATTGAGCACTTGCTGTGTGCTAGGCATCATCAGGCACCCTGGAGGTAATTGGATGAAGGCTGTCCTCAAAAAGATGGCAATTAGGAAGAAAGATTGGTTCAGTATTCTAAATACTTATTACTTTTTAAAATTAGAACCAGAGTCTTGCTATGTTGCCCAGGCTGGCCTTGAACTCCTGGGCTCAAGTGATTCTCCCACCTCAGCCTCAGCCTTCTGACTACAGGTGTGTGCCCACCACACCCAGCTGCCAAAGACTATTTTTCTAACACTTTGCTGTGCAAAAATCACTGAACGGTATCAGTAACCTTATCATTTTGGCCATCTGGAAGACTGATGTAAGAAATCTCCAGTTATTCAGCTGCAAATAATACCAATTTGTAAAATACAAGAGCTCCCCGTCTAAAGATAGTCATCTAGTACTTAATATAACTAAGAAGTGGCCATCTTTATATCTTAAAGGAGTGGTTCTTCTGGTCTCCTAGCTCTGATCCTGCTATCCTGGAAGCTTAAAGAGACCCAGAGGGAGAAGCTGTGTCCCTGTGAGTGCCTGGCGGTGCAATACCAGCCAGTGAGCCCTCCTTGGCAGACCCAGTGACTAAGGCTGTCAGATGTAGACCATGCCTGGTGGCCCTCTGGGCTCCCTTTCTGAGATCGCAAATGCTTAGCCAGGATAGAAAAGCAGTCAGCTAAGCAATCCTCTTCTCCTCCTGGTTTCGTGGAAGTGAATTTACTCAGTTTTGGGCCCTTAGGTCTTTACCATATTTCTCCTTTGAAGGAAAACGGCAACTGCTATGTTTTAAGCCTGCTATGTGAAATGGGAGATGCACAAATTCAGTGGAGTTGTTTTCCACAGTGAAATCTGTGCCTTCCTCTCACTTCTGCAGGTCTTATAAGGCCTTTTATAGTCCTGCAGTCACCATAGAGTGAAGAGAAAGACCAGCAGTGGGGTCTTTCCAGTACAATTAATTTTCAGTACAATTAAGGTGAAACAGAGCATCCACAAAACCTTACTCTAGGTGCCATCATGACTTTCTAGAGCAAGAATCTTATTATTATTTTAAATTAATTTTCCCTTGAGAATCTGGTAGAAGTTTCAAATCTTAATCCCAGAAAAATACACTGATGTAAATATACATATAACATTAGGGGAATCCCAAAACCCATAATGATAATAGGTTTTAAGAAGGCTTGAATTTCATTGGTATAAAAGGGAAAAAAAGAGTAAAGAGAAAAGGGAAATATTGGAAAACATACACGCAAGATCTCTCCAAAGTTCTTAATACAGATTTTAAGGTGTTAACACAAAGGATTAAGATTTAGAGGGGCTGGGCGCGGTGGCTCAAGCCTATAATCCCAGCACTTTGGGAGGCCAAAGTGTGAGGATTGCCTGAATCCATAGGTTCGAGAACAGCCTGGAAACTTGACGAGACCTCATTCTACAATAAATCAAAAAATTAGTCAGGCATGGTGGTGCACGCTTGTAGTTCCAGCTACATGGAAGGTTGAGGTGGAAGGATTGCCTGAGCCCAGCTTGATGCTGGAGTGGCCGTGAGCATGCCACTGCACTCCAGCCTGAGCGACGGAATGAGACTCCAACTCAAAAAAAAAAAAAAAAAAAAGAAAGAAAGAAAGAAAAAGACTTAGAAGGTGCGAGATTCTACACTGATAACAAACTTTCAGATGGTATCACCACTTCTGGTCCACGGACTACATTTTGAGTAACAAGTCTCACCTGCAGTCTTGTGGAAGGATGCCAGCTTTCTAATTCAAAATCATCATCAGATGTTCGTTTTGTGAGGAATGCTAATATATCTAAATAACCATGAATGTCGGATAGAGCTGCAGAGACTTAGGCATGGAATGTTGCTCCCAGTGAAACTTACTTGGAAGGAATGTATCCATGAGCATGTGGACTCTGAGAGTCCCAGGCCTGGCATTCCAGTCCAGACATGGTCTTGGAAATTTTCCCTTCGTAATTTTCTCCGCTGCAATGCATACATTCATCTGGTCAGAGTGGGGCAGAAGGAGAGGGAGGAAAAAAAGAAACTGAAATGGATGAAACCAAATAGAGAGCAAAAACCAGAATCCCATTCACTCAAATACTACTTATCCCAAGTTCACAGGTAATTTCTATTAATCGATTGGCAATAAGGACTCCTAATGTTGACACAACCCGAAATGTCACTCTCTCTTTCCAAAGGTAAAATCAGTATATTTTGGTCAATAGCCCCTTGACTATTGTAGTCATGACTAAATTCAACATTTCCATAATGCCATGTCCTTACGCAGGGAGATATAGGTTGGGAGGCAGGCAGGTGGACATAGTCTCAGAAATCTGTAAGTTTGCCATTAAATATTTGGTGTCCTCATTTCAATAGCTATCTGTAAACATTTGTGTGAGATTATTTTGATCATTCGGTTGACTGCCCAATAATCTGTCCCATTTTAGGATTTTAGTGCTGGAGTTTTTGCTTGTGCACGTGGCTTCACTGGAGAACGATGTTCACTTGAAGTGACAGCACTTCTCTTTATATTGTTGAAAAGCAAGACTGGCTATTTTTTGCTTTCTTAAATGTTTCAAAACTGAAGCTTTGACTTGGAATTATTGAAGGAATGTGGTGACGCAAAGTAATGCATGACTTACATTTGTATGGGGTAATCAGGAAAATAGGGGTAGATTTCATACAGAAATGAGGCATTCATGACACTTAAGAGCCACGTGGTCCGTAAGACCGTGTACAAATAAAAGATCCTCAGCTGGGCTCGGTGGCTCCACCTGTAATCCCAGCGTTTTGGGAGGCTGAGGTGAGTGGATTGCCTCAGCCCACAATTTCAAGAACCACCTGGGCAAATTGGCGAGACCTCATCTCTACAATAAAATTAAAAAGCCGGGCTCGGTGGCTCAGCCTGTAATCCCGTGCCTTTGGGAGGCTGAGGTGAGTGGATTGCCTGAGCCCGCGGGTTCGAGACCCACCTGGGCAGCGAGACCTCATCTCTACAATAAATCAGAAAATCAGCCGGGCGTGGTAGCGCATGCCTGTAATTCCGTCTACTTGGAAGGCTGAGGCGGAAGGATCGCCGGAGCCCAGCAGGTCGAGGCTGCGGTGGCCGGGAGCGGCCACTGCACTCCTGTCTGGGTGACAGAGTGAGACTCCAACTCAAAAAAAAAAAAAAATAAATAAAATAAAATAAAATCAAAAACTAGCCGGGCGTGGTAGCGCACGCCTGTAGTTCCAGCTATGGAAGGCTGAGGCGGAAGGATTGCCGGAGCCCAGCAGGTCGAGGCTGCAGTGGCCGGGAGCAGCCACTGCACTCCAGTCTGGGTGATAGAGTGAGACTCCAACTCAAAAAAAAAAAAAAAAAAAATCCTCATGGCCAAAATAGCTCAAAGTGATGGGAGAACAGAGTTGTCACATATACAATACCCACAATGTTGGGTAAATATCACCTTTTTTTATTCTCACCTGGCATGAATAAAGGTAGCCAGAAATATGAAATGAAGACAGTTTTTTCAGTATGATATTTTCTTTTTTTTTTTTTAGTATTGCCCTTGGAAGTGCACTATCAAATTGGTTGGTCTATTAAAATAACAGATTGCTGATTTAAAAACTGATTCATTGCTTTGCGTGAACGAAACAACAAAGTCTGCCACATTGAAGTTATGTTATTTGAATTTTATTGATGCTGTGGTTTTATTTTAACTATTTCATTGCAAATATTTTGGGGGGTTTTATACTGTGTAAGTGCTTTAAGCATAAGAAATTTGTATTTAGAGTTTAGATCTAGTTTTATATTTGTACATGTTTACATAACATTTTAATAAAAATAATTTAGGCCAGGCTGAGTGTAGTGGCTCTTGCCTGTAATCCCAGTGCTTTGGGAAGATGAAGTGGGAGAACTGCTCGAGGCCAGGAGTTCAAGACCAGCCTGGGCAACATTGTAAGACCCTGTGTCTACAAATAAATAAATAAATAAACAAATTTAAATATATGGGCCAGACATGGTGGTACATGTCTACAGTCCCAACTACTCAGAAGGCTGAGGTAGAAGGATTGTTTGAGCCTAGGGGTTTAAGTTTGCAGTGAGCTATAATCATACCACTACACTCCAAGCCTGGCCTATAAAATAAATAAATAAATAATGTTCGTCAATACTGGGGGTCTGAACAAATTTTTGCTCCTTTCTGAGAGGTGAATACATTAGTCTATTTTATCATGCATAGCACTAATTGATTATTAGTGCTATCCCTGTGGAAAGTGGTTTTTCAGCAAATTGTCAGTGAAGGGCAGATATGAAAACATTTTCTAGCGCCATTCCTGACCTTCGCATTCGGGAATGTCGCAGTAGTCGAATCTCTGTTCTGGGTCAGTCGTGTAGCACCAGGGCCCCTGCTCGTCATTGTCGGGATTCCTGCAGTAGTTCCTCTCCAGGCCTTCATTGGGGTGTGTACTAGGTGAGAAGCTGGGGAGGATGGCAAGAAGCAGGTTGACTATATCCTAGAAGTCAGCATGCTGTCAGCAAGGCAGAAGGAGATGCTATTTCCCATCTGGGATGGAAGTTTCTGTTGTCCAAATGCATTCCAGCCAGGAACTGTAGCACTGGGTGCTATCAGATTTTCAATTTCCCTATAGATGGGCTGCTTCAGATACATTAGCATTATTACTCTATTATTACATTATTACTCTATTATTACATTATTACTCTATTATTACATTAGCATTAATACTCTATTGGCAGCTAAGTCTCAGAAGCAGAGCAAAGGTATTTTTAGTGAACAGTCAGTAGAAATATAAAGGCCACAAAAGCCTGCCAAATCTTGATAAATTCCAAACACCTGCTTTTGTCAATTGCCCTTCTCTCTGTTAAAATACTAGTAAATACCATCTTGTCCATGTGAACTATGCACTGGGCATGACATTAAAACTTGCTATACTCTCTTTCAGTCTTAATAAAGTTAAAAAAGAAAAAGGGGTTATTAGCTATATTTTACAGATAAGAAAACCAAAAGCAGCAACGTTAAACAAAACAAAACTTGCCTAAGGTTAAGGAGCAGATCAAGAATTTAAAGTCAATCTGATCCAAAGGTTGAGTCCTCTCTGAAATGCAGCCTGAATTAATGGGGGTGGGGGAGGGAGTTAAGCTCATTTGCTATATAGAGACAACAAATTAGGTTAAAAGTGCAAGACTTAGAGTCTTAAAAGGCAGGTTTGATGTCTGGTTCTTCTGTGTACCTGATTTGGGTAACCCCCACCCTCTCAGAACCTGTAGGATGAGCCTACATTAGCTCATGAAAATGGCCAAGACTATCCCTAAGGCCCCTGATGGTCTATGATTTGACTATTTGGTTGAACCATTTTTCTTTATCTACTAGGAATGTTTGACCTACTCATCCCATAGGGCTGTAGGAAGGGCAATCTGTTTGGCACAGGGGGCCCAGTAGCAGACAACCAATTCCTAGCTGATAAGTGTTGTTATTGAGAACTTGATGCCAACTAACATCAAATTAGTAAAAGTACAAAAAAAAAAAAGACACTAAAATAAATAATAGGCAAGTTGCAAGATTGATAGTTCATGTATATTTCATTTTCATTTGTATATTTCATTTGCTCTTTTGCTCCCCATGTTGAGTTGAACATATGATGCAAATTCTAACGTGATTATTAGATTTGTTTAATTCAGTCCTAAGCATGGTCATCTTTACTCCTTTCTCAGACTCAGTCTAAAATTTATAGTTTTATTGTTCTTTTTGCAAGGCATCCTTCATTACCATAGGTCTTCCAGACAACTCTATACACAAGAGTAAATAGAAAGCAACCATTTTTTACTTTCATGCTACAAATAATTGAACATCAGTTCTAGAGCAGCAGCAAAAGGGTTCTTTCTATCTGCTTATTCACATGTTCTGGTTTGATTTAGAAATAATGAAATTATTCTAAATACAGTTGGCCCTCTGTATCCACTGGTTCGAATCCACAGATTCAACCAACTATGGATCAAAAAGATTGGGGAAAAAAACAATAATAATTAATACATTTTTTAAAACACAGCATAACAATTGTTTACATAGCACTTACATTGTATTAGGGATTATAAATGATCTAGAGATTATCTAGAGTATGCAGGAGGATGTGTTTGGGTTTTATGCACACATGGTGCCATTTTATATAAGGGACCTGAACATCTGCGCATTTTGGTACCCAAAGGGTCCTGGAGCCTTCCCTTAGGGACACAAAAAGGCCACCTGGACAATAGATGAACCCAAGCGGAAAAGCAAGTCGTACTTAGGTTTGTGGGGGAAGGTGGCATTCCATCTTTGGCAGGGGATGCCTCTCTTGGTTTTGGACATGGTCCCTCTGTAACTCTTTCCGTTCCCAGTCTTGCACTCTGAAAGATACACTGAAAGGAAATCCACACAGCAGTCAGAGTTTTTCACGACAAGAAACCTCAGAAGGAGGTCTGCACAGCGTGGTCACACGGAGAGGAAGATCTCACACCCCAGAAGCCCTTTCCTGGCGGGCTCTGCTCTGCACTCTCGGAGCTCGTCTTTTGTACCCATGAAAGGAGTCCCGTGGAGCCGCTCTGCACTTTGGTGCGTTCAAAAGCCACTTACCAAGCCCTCCGTGTATCCGGCCCCAGCGAGGTGCTGGGGACACATGGAGACCGAGCAGGTCGCGGCCTGATCCTCTCAACCTTACGTTCCAGTGGGGTCGGGCGGGGTGGTTACAGGAAGTGGTCAAGGGAACAAAATGGAGAATGAGATGACTTCGTGGTGAGGAAATAAACAGCGTGATGGATGGAGCAGGAGAATAAGGATGGGGCCTTATAGACAGGAGGGGGAGTGGGGGGTGGAGGGAACAGGGTTTTCGGAGGCTAAAGGAGTTCCCAGCCACTTCTGCTTTTTTTCAGGCTCCCAGTAACATGAGAAAAGTGCCACACAAGGGTTATAACATGATGGTCCCCGTAAGTGTTTAGAGTGAAAGTTCTCAACCAATCTCTACTCAACCAACTCACCACCTAGCCAATGGGCTCTCTTCTGTAAAAGGTGTGCTTACCCAGAGTCATTTGTTTGTACTTTCCAACTTTCTTATACTGTTATATTTAATTAAAGATCATCTGAACTGAGAAATGAATATGAAACGAAATAAAGCTCTTGTACTGTTTTAACAAAGTTGAATGCTTTTAAGGTGGAGAAAGAGTAAAATCAAAATCACTTTTTAAAAATTGCTGTCCAATCCACTGAGGGCAGCCCACTCAAGTAGTTGAGGATGTAAGTTTGGAGAACAATGAAAATGTTAAGGTGTTACACACTCTGATTGATTGATCGATGTCTAGGTCTTGCTCCAATTCAATGTTAAGGAAGACAAGTATTGTGTATATGGCACTAGAGCATTGATTATGGGCTGGTCTCAAACTCTTGCTAGTGGCCCCATACTCAAAGAAAACAGCCTCTAGTCTACCTCAAGAGTTGCTGATGCTAATGTGTGTTTTAAATCATCTTTTAAGATTTTCTGCTTTAGCCAAGTTTTAAAATGTATTAATCAATCACCTGGGGAAGTACTTTTAATATACAATCTAATGTTATTCACCTGATGGGATGCAGTGGCTCGCAACTGTAATCCCACCAATTTGGGAGACCGAGTTGGGAGGATCGCTAGAACCCAGGAGTTAAGACCAGCCTAGGCAACATAGCAAGACCTCGTCTCTATCAACAATTTTTAAAAGTTAGCTAGGTGTGGTGGTACACGCCTGTAGTCCTAGCTACAACAGAAGCTGAGGCAGAAGGATCGACTGATCCCAGGAGTTTGAGGCTGCAGTGAGCCATGATGGTGCCACTGCACCACAGCCTGGGCGATAGGGTGAGACCCCGTCTCAATACATGTATACATACATACACAATGTTCTTTACCCAACATTATGTATAATGTTTACAAATATCCCTTCAGTGGGACTTATTATTGCAGTAGACATAGTTTACAAAATTGTAAATTGGGGGTACTTTGTGAAAGGAAGACACAGGGGCTGGGGAGACTTTGAAAAGGAGGTGATGCTGAGACCTAGAAGATGAGATGGAGCTGGAATAGCAAGGCAAAGGTGAAGAAGGTCCGAGGCAGGGAACATGTGCTTGGTGTGTTGAAGAAACAGAGATAAGCCCAGAAAAGATTCATGAACCAACAGCTGCCCAGGGTGGACTCAGAGCTATTTAGCGTTCAGGAAGTATTTGGATTTTTATTTTATTTTGAGTTAGGATTTCACTCTGTCACCCAGACTGGCATGCAATGGCACAGTCATGCCTCACAGCAGCCTCAAACCCTTGGGCTGAAGGGATCCACCCTTCTCAGTCTCCTGAGTAGCTAAGACTACAGGTGTGCACCACTCACCCAGTCCAGCTAATTTTTTTTTTTTTTTTTGGTGGTGGAGATGAAGTTGCCTGGGCTGGTCTCAAACTCCTGAGTTCAAGCAATCCTGCCATGGCCTCCCAAAGTGCTGGAATAACAGGTGTGAGCCACCACACGGGCCTCTGGATTGTATTCTAAGTGCACCAGGAAGGGCTTTAAGCAGGGAAGGTACGTTTCTAAGTGATCACTTGTGCAGCTACAAGCAGAGGGGCTAGGGATTGCCCTGGCCAGAGGTGATGAGGGCTTGGACCTGGGTTGTAGCAGTGGAGCTAGGGCAAGTGACAATGTAAGTGTGGTCTGACATTGACTGCTCCCAGCAAAACCCTGACAAGTAAATGAGAAGCAGGCCAATATTCCACAGTAAGGAAACAAGGACCAAAAAATGGCTGACTTTTGACTTTTTGCTTCTCTTTTGTTTGTATGTACCCGCCAGAGTTTATATAACCTCTTGCTCCCTTCTGTCACCTTGAAAACAAGCAAACTAAGCCCTCAAACTTCAGACTTCAAACTAGGCCTAACAGTCACTCCCATGTCCCTTCTGGTTAACAATTTACAAATGACATATTTAAATGTTATCATTTTGTAAAGAGAATCCCACCAGGGTTTTTGGTTCTTTTAATCTGGTGGGTAATAAATGATCCTATTAATTCTCACTCACTGCTCATAAGAAATAATCACACCAATGAATAAAATTTGAATTTTAAACTCAAGAATTAGAGAGAAACAGTAGTCAAGAAGAAAGAATAACAGAGGTACTGCTAATGAAGCCCAAGAAGATGAGTCGATGCGTAGAAATAAACCTGACCTACAGAAATACTTTTAAACTTCATATTGAAAGTTTCGTGGTAGAAAAGTGTTGCCAAGTTATTGCCAAGGATGTAAGAACTAGGTTATTTCTTGCCCTTTGTAACACTGTGGTGCAGAGTATTTGGAGAGCTAAATTATTATTCATGGTCTTGATACCCAGTCAATAATAGAGTCTAGGAAACAGTTTTTAAAGTGTCATATATCCATTGAAGTCTTCATACACACCTAACGGAAATTTTGCATATCTAAAAAGGCATGCAATTGCCATTGTACTCCAGATCACCCCTTATCCCAAACAGTGGGACTATTGATCCACATTTCAGAAAAAGCTATAGAAAAGGAACTGAAACTTTTGTGTATTTTTTAAAGACAGTATTTCAGAGTCTGAGGAAAATATAGACCGTGACCCCCAAAAACATGGACAATTTAATAAAAATAAGGAATGCTGTCCCTATCCAAATGTTACTAAGGATTAAAAACACCTCAGCATTTCTATTTTGCAATGTTTCAGTTCAGAAATTAGGGCCCAAGGACCATGGGCACCCCACAGAATAAGAAGCCAAGATCTGTTTCATTTAGATGTCCCATCTCTTCTTATAAAAAATAATAAAATGTCAAATATCTTGTTCAGGATCTTAGAGGTAGAATTGATTTTGTAAATCCAATTCCTTCGTTCTTCAAACAAACAAACAAACAAACAAATAAAAAATGAAACCAAAGAGGTGGAATAATATACACAAGTTTACATGGCTGATTAATGACCAAATCCAGTCCTAACTCAGAGTTCAATTTCACTATGCCACAGTGCCCTCATCTTCTAGATTCATAAATAGAAGAAATAAAAGAGGAAGAAGAGGAATGGAGAAGGAAGAAGAAAACATACGTACTTTTCTTTTCAAATAAAACAACATCTCTCATCCTAATAATGGAGGAAGACTTGCTGTTTTCAGCCATTATCACACATTGTTGCCATTTACTATGATATTGGAATGACCTGCAGAAAAGAATCAGGGCATATACTAAATGTTTGTCTTTAGTTAAGGGCAATAATTGTTTATTAATACGTAAGACACTCTAAGGATTATTTTACCTCTTGAGGGATCAAGAACTCAGAATCGTTGCCTTTTTTCCATAGCCTTAATGAGGTACTGTGCATAGTACATCAACATGGTCATTATTTTTGTTTTCTTATACCTCTGCCTTCGCCCCCTCCTAATTTTATCTTTCTTTCTGCCTCAACCACTTTACTCTTTCTTCATTTATTTTCTTAAGCACCAGAATATTTGTTTCTGTGTTGGGAAGAAGTAACTCTGGTTTCTTTGAACCTGTTTCCATACTCCAATCATTTCTGTGTAACCTTGGCCTTCACATTGCCCCCTCCCATCACCTCACCCTCCACTCCCCATTCATGTGGTCCTGCCATGGAGTCTCAGTCTAGTTTTCAAAGCTGTCCACAGCTCCCTTTCCTACCTAACCAACTACATGAAAGCCTTCGCTTCAGATGACTTGGTCTATTCTTGCTCCCTATCAGAGGGTACAGTGCTGTGCCTCACCCTACCTAGAGTGCCTCTCTGCCCAAGGTAACTTCCTGCCTTCTGGATACTTGTCAAGGGCTCCCTCTCTCTCAAAACCCAGCTCAGTTCCCACCTCCTCCCTGATGCCTTCTCCTGCTGCCTCTACCTGGAATTGTTCTTTCTGTGTGGAGCATGCATAGATAAAGCCTCTTTGCAGTACTTTGCCTGGACTGGCCTTTTTGTTTGTTTACATTATATCCAGTTTCTATGACTACATCATAAATACAAAAGGACAGGCACTGGGTCTTGTGTCTACACTTCCTCGCTCAACTACATCTAGGACACTTTTATTCATATGACCCTCAATACACTTTACTGATGATGAAGTTAGAAACTAGAGCTCAAGTCGGGCTTGGTGGCTCAGCCTGTAATCCCCCGCCTTTGGGAGGCTGAGGTGAGTAGATTGCCCGAGCCCATGGGTTCGAGACCCCCCTGGGCAACTTGGCGAGACCTCATCTCTACAATAAATCAAAAAATTAGCTGGGCGTGGTAGTGCGCACCTGTAGTTCCAGCTACTTGGAAGGCTGAGGCGGAAGGATCGCCAGAGCCCCAGCAGGTCGAGGCTGCGGTGGCCGGGAGCAGCCACTGCACTCCAGTCTGGGCGACAGAGTGAGACTCCAACTCAAAAAAAAAAAAAAAAAAGAAAAGAAACTAGAGCTCAGAACACTGGCTGCTAATGTTTATGACGTATAAAAATAAAAAACTTCATTTGGGGTATTTTTCTGGATACCTTATAGTAGTAAATCTTAAGAAGCAGTTGGTATAGTTTCAGATACTGGGAGAAAATGGAGTTCCAAACTCCAATTCCATAAATGTCTCTTTCCTCTTACATTGTGTGCTTGTTAATAAATTTCTGAGTAAATCACTTGCAGTCAAAATAAGAGATATTTGCACAGGTTCAATGATAATGAAAATACCTGCAGATGAATTCCTTTTCCTCCTCACATTTTGCTGCACATTCGTCTACACTCTCTGCTCCAAGCTGTCTCTTAGTGCCACTGAACAGTGAGGCCCCCTGGGTATTCACATAGTCATCCAGTGGCTCTCCTTGACCTGAAGATGGAGGATAAAAGTTGAACAACTGATAAAAATCAACCAATGCCATTCTTTCATTATCATGACTTTCAAATCTACTTGCATTGTATCAACTGAATAAAATTTGCTGCTTTATTGAAAGCAGAGTGAGTAGCTGTGAATAAAAAAGTTTCATCAGCCCCGGGCGCAGTGTCCACACCTGTAATCCCAGCACTTTGGGAGGTGGAGACAAGAGAACTGCCTGAGCTCAAAGTTTTGACACCAGCCTTGGCAACAAGGCGAGACCTCGGTCTGTAAAATAAATCAAAAAAATAACTGAGCATGGTAGCGTGCACCTGTATCCCAGCTACTTTGGAAGACAAACATAAGTCTCGCCTAAGCCCAGCAGGTCGAGACTGCAGTGGCCGTGAGCTTGCCACTGTACTCCAGCCTGGGTAACAGAATGAGACTTTGACTCAAAAAAAAAAAAGTTTTAACAGGTAAACAGTTTCATTCACAGAGCATAATATATTAAAAGACTAACTAGATTGATAAATTCATTAAAACTATGTGACAATGTCTATGTTACTGTATGAATGGATATAAAACCTGAAATAAAAATATTTATCTACTCGTTATTGAGTGCCATGACATGATAGAAGAGTAAGACACCACTAGTGGCAATTATGTGACCAAGGTTGAAGATGATTTGTCCTCTCTGGGCATAAATGGAACTTGAAAGCCGTGGTTTGCTTTTCAACCATATACTCTTTGGTTGTGACACTGTCACTTTAACCGGTGATAATCATTTGCTGAATGGTTCCTCCTCAAGATACAAAAAATTTGGCAAGACTGAGGCCAGGTACAGTGGCTCACACCCAGGAGGCCAAAGCTGGAGGATTGCTTGAGCCCAGGAGTTTGAGGCCAGTCTGGGCAACATAGAAAGACCTCATCTCTACAAAAAATAAAAATAAAAAAATAAGCCGGGGTGGTGGCTCAGGCCTGTCTGTAGTCTCAGCTACTCAGGAGACTGAGGAGGGAGGATTACCTGAGCCCAGGAGTTTGAGGCTGCAGCTGCAGTGAGCTGTGTTTGGGCCACCGCACTTCAGTCTAGGAGGCAGAGTAAGACTCAAATTTTAAAAGAAATAAAGAAAGAAAGAACTGAGCTAAATTATGGTGATTATGGTCCCACCTTGGGGCAAAAAGGAAGGTAAGAATCTCACCCATAATACAAGACCTGGCTTAGCATAGTGACACATTGCTATTAATTGGGAAGAAATAATTTTTTCCATGATGTGGACAAGTGTCTGACATTTAAGAGGAAATTGTAAAAAGCAGAGCATGGACAAATACTGCCCTTGATTCTTCTATGAGATAAAATCTGAGGCAAAGAATCTGTCCAAATTTTGTCACTGCAGATAGCGGCCAAGAGGGCCTCAGCTGTGTTCCCACCACAAGGTTGCAGAGTGCCCCTGTCCCTCGGCTCCACAGAGCACCTTGCAAGCATTGGTGGCTCTATCCCAGGCCTAGACATGTCCCCCATCCTTTGGCACAGAATGCTAGTGATTTTCACGAGAGGCCAAAGGAGGTTAATAAAATGAAGATAGCAAAGTTTCCATGGAATTGGGCAACATGGCCACCTTGACCACTTTGAGGGAAGTGGTGGGGGCCAAAGCCAGATGGAGTGGGTTAAAGAGTGACCAGGAGAGCAGAGGGAGCTGCCGGAGGAGACAGCTTTTCTGGGAAGCCTGGCTCTGAGCGGAGTGCATCCTCCAGGGAATGGGCAGTCTTGGGAGTGTTTTTTAAAGCAGAGACACTTGGAGCACATGTGTATGTTGATGAAAATTTGCCAGTAGGAAGGTTCGTTAAGGGTCTGATTCTCATTCTGAGAAAAACTATTCCTGCACACCTGGAAATATATAGTCTGTGGAGGGCAGAGGATATGCTCTAATCAATGAATGCAAAGTTCATCCTGTCCCTACTTCTGAGACTTTGCCCTTCCTCAAGTTAAGATGCTCCGAACTGGAAGGATGAATTATTGAACAGTTGGCTGATGTATTTTAAACTTCGTACATCAAAAGCCATTTGATAGATGTATCAAAAGATGATGGAGAAATTGACATTTTAAGGCCTGTATCCATGTCTTCATCCTGAGTTTTCTCCCTTCTGGACTCTCATGTCCAAGTAGAGTTGTGCTTTGGTAAACTCTATAGGTCAGGGTGTGACTTCAGAAAGAAACAACATATCAAAAGTAAAATTAAACTTTTTAGAGTTTTTGGGAAGTGTAGTAGGGCAGGCTTCAAATGATAGTCAAAAAGAGAAAATTGACATTTATGTCACACTTTGAGTTACCTTTACTTGTGTCATGATATAACGTTTCACAGTGTAGATTCAAGACCCAAATGAGGAGCTGATGTCCCAAAGAAATATCCCAAAAGAGAATGAACTCTTTTTTTCTTTTTAATTTGAAAAATTTTCCCCAAGTCTTTTTTGTTTTCTTATTCACCTTCAGGGCTCGTATGACAATGGGGTTTAATAGGTTTTATTTGTTGTTGAAGAAACATTAAGCTAGTAATTTAATAGAAAAGAAATTTTATATTATAGGAAAATTGTTGATGTATACTGCTACCAAAGCAAATGTATTGTATAAATATAGTGGTTTTTTAACGCCATGTTTGTGCAGGTGTATGCATACTTGTGTGTGGACTAGAAATGACTTAGTAATTTATGAAATGTGAGATGTTCATCCATTTCTTACTGATTATAGCTACAAAAGAAATTTTTTGTCTCTCCCTGGTCATTGTCAGTAGAAAGATGAAACTCACTTCCATGGAAAACAAGGTCAAATTCCTACCTTTCAAAAAAAGCTAATGAGAGAATTGTTCCCCCTGGTTAGTTTAAATATGTGCTAAATTTGTTGCAGAGCAGTTCTAATCATTGGGTGTAGGCCACTGAGAAACTTCATAGTGTTCTAGGTCCTACCTTCCCTGAGTTGAAATAGATTATTCATGTTCCCCTTAAACACACACATGTACCCATGCACACGCGCATGCACGCACACACACACACATACACACACACACATCACTCTTGTGTTTTCCACAACACTCTTTTTGTTTAATCTCCTCCTGCTCTGAATTTTCTTTCATATTTCTTTGAATGGCTTCCACTAAATACAAATGTAGTTGATTCTAAAGTACAACTTGTAAAATTTTATCTGGTAACGTAGATTGAATTTTAAGTATATATACTTTGTTCATATAAAGAATTACTAACATAAGTATGGTTTCCATATATATATATTATTTCCAAAATAGGCAAATCTATAAAAGCAGAAAGTACATTAGAGGTTGTCAGGGGTTGCAGATTAGGAGTAACAGCAAAAGAGATGAAATTTCTTGTGATGGTAATGAAAATATTCTAGAATATACTGTGATGACTGTTTACAACTCTAAATATATTGAAAACCATTGGATAATATACCTTAAATGGGTAAATTATGTATTGGAATTTTTTTTTTTTTGAGTTGGAGTCTCACTCTGTCGCCCAGACTGGAGTGCAGTGGCTGCTCCCGGCCACCGCAGCCTCGACCTGCTGGGCTCTGGCGATCCTTCCGCCTCAGCCTTCCGAGTAGCCGGAATTACAGGCATGCGCTATCACGCCCGGCTGATTTTTTGATTTATTGTAGAGATGAGGTCTTGTTGCCCAGGCGGGTCTTGAACCCGCAGGCTCAGGCAATCCACTCACCTCAGCCTCCCAAAGGTGCGGGATTACAGGCTGAGCCACCAAGCCCGGCATTTTATCTCAATGAAGTTTTTTAAAAAAACAAACAAACAAAAAAAGAACTACACAGACATGTTTAGAATATTGCTAAAGTTTTAAACAGTGTTGAAAAAGTAAGAAAAGTTCCTTCTTGGAAAGTCCTGGTCTAAATGTTGATTTCTTTACTTCTTTGATTTGGAAGTTTTGTCATTGAAAAAATAACGTAATATTCCTAGGGGTAGATTTTCTTATTTACAAAATGAATATACTATCCTATCTACTAAATAATCTGGTATTGGTAAATATGCTCACACAGATCTATGTATGTACGTATGTATGAAGACAAGTATTATCTAACCTGAACATTAAATGAGTATGTGTTGAATTACTATATGTATACATAATTTGACAAATTGTTGTGTGCGATTTCTCCGGACATCTACAATTATGCAGGTAAAGCAAACCTCTACCTATGGAAAACCTTACTTAAGCCACAACACAGAGAGAAATGAGCAGTCCAACCCCGTGAACTGGTCAAGGACAGGTACACGCAAAGAGATATGTCATTGTTTAAATTTGGAAGTAAGGGGAATAGGACACCTTATTAAACAAATGTTAAACAAGTGACATAAATTAATCAAACTGAGAACCAGGTAAAGAGATTAACCACCTTTGGGTTGTTAGCTGTCTTGTTAGCTATTTTTGTTCAGCTAAACTAGCCACCATCTGGGCTCAGTCATTTAGATTTGAAAAATCACCCATCATTTTCTCTGCTCATTGATCTCAGCACCCTGACAGTATTCAGAGAGAAATTACTTTTATTTCTTGAACAATTCCTCAATAATAAGTTGGATTTTGAACTGCGAATCTCATTAGTTGAAAGCTACATTAAACAACTTGCCCATGAAGTCATAGCATATCTATTTTTTACGTTGCTAGGAAAAAGTAATTACTAAGGTAAAATAAACCTTAAGTCTTACCTGATTTCAGAAATAAAAGAAGCAGAAGGACCACTTCCTTATGCTCCATGTTGGGACTGGCCAGTGGTGTCTGGAAACAGTGTGTCTCAATTCCAGAATGTTATTGACTTGCCTAAGAGTAAATGCATCCCCAAACAAGACAGTCCAATTAAGTTAATTATTCTCTCAGAGGCCCATGCCACTGGACCCGAAGGGTTCAAACATTACCTTGAATAAAGAATCTTACAAAATGTTTGAGAGTGAATCTGCAATAGATGCTGGGAAATGGTGAAAGCAATCTCCCCCCTTGGTCACCTGCCTCTCTCCTCTTCCTCCCTCACCCCAGCCCATCATCTTTCCCTTTAAGTCTCGTTTCCTTCCCTTTCTTTCCTTTTTTAAATCACTTTATTTGATAATAGGGATGTGGGGTATAAGCCAGGATTAGGTGCATAAGTAGTCTACTTGCAAGTGAAGTTTGGGCCTCCAACTGGTCCTCACTTACCCTGGTTTAGGGTCAGGTACCTTTGTGTTGTTATGTGTTCCCTCACACACACTCCCCTGGTAGTGTCCTACAACTGCTGATCCCTCCCTTGTGCTATTGTGATCAATGTTCAGGGCCCACTTATGAGTAAGGACATGTGGTATTAGGTTCTTTGTTTCTGAGATCAATCACTCCAACTTCATCCAATTTGCTGCAAAGTCCATGATGCTGTCCTTTTTTTATGGCTGTGCAATATTCCAGCATTACAATAATAGAAGTAGCTCACATTTGCTGAGTCCCTTCTCTACGCTGAACCCTCTCCAAACGCCAAGTCTAACATCTCCTTTGAGCTTTATAACAAGCCATGCTATTATCATACTCATTGTAAGACCAGGGGGCTGAGGCTGGACCTGGGATTACACAGCTAACAGAGCATACAACCACTAACGCCACTGTTTAGGGCTTAGATGACCAACTTTCACAGGTGTTATTGTTAACATCCTTACATCCTACCAAACAATCAAAATTGCATCTGACAAGTGGAAATATTTTCTTAGTATTGAAATGTCTTTATTCCCAGTGCACTCACATGTGTTCTGTAATGATAAATTATGTTACAAAATATCAATCATTCCCCCCAAATGAATTCATTGTGTGTTATGATGTTCTCATCCTCATGAAATAAAGCAAGCATGGTAGATTTAAGTGGAAATTATCTATCTCAATATAAACTGTTGAATCTGTATTTTTCTCTGGTTGGCAGAGTGACCAGGAAATGTATGCTTTGAAACTCTTATTTTAGGCCGGGTTTGGTGGCTCACACTTGTTATCCTAGCCCTTTGGGAGTTCGAGGCAGGAGGATTGCTTGAGCCTAGGAGTTTAAGACCAGCCTGAGCAACATAGTGAGACCTCATCCTATAAAAATTTAAAAATTAGCTGAGTGTAGTGGTGTGTGCCTGTAGATCCAGCAATTCAAGAGGCTGAGACAGTAGGATCACCGGAGCCCAGAAAGTTGAGGTCGCAACGAGTTGTGATTGTGTCACTGCACTCCAGCCTGGGTAATAGTGTGAGATCCCGACTCAACAAAACAGAACAAAACAAAACAAAAACCCAAACCCTCCTATTTTAGTGCTCAAAAATATTTGGGGGCAGTTGAATTGATCTCTCTATTTTATATTTGTAAAAAGGACAAGAAAGCATCCATTTCTCTTTCCTGACTATGAAATCCCTTCCTATAGATTAACTGGTAAAACGTGGAGGTGGAAGCCAGGTCGCCTTAGGTGGAACTCTGCAGAATTCTCTGGGATTGAAGTACTGTGCAAAATTCTCAAGAACAAACTGTTCTGGTGCCACCAGAGAAGCAGGGATGACCTACCTGTATTTCCCAATTTTCTATTTCAGCCTAGCTTGCTTCTCTCCTCTGTCTCCCACCACCTCCCTCGACCCTCTCCGTCTCACTTACAGGCTCAGTTCATTAAAGTACCCAGAAAGTGAAAGTAAGTTGAGAGATTAGTAGTGGGCAGACTTCTTTTATCTCAAAATAATATGAATTGTCTTTTAGGAGCCAAGATCGGTGCATTTGAGAAAGTACTTTGGGAAAAATAAAACAGACTCTACTAACATATAATGTTTTCAGTATGTGCTTTTATTTCCATATATGATCTTATTTTAGCACTTCTTCCTGGATAAGGCACCTTGGGAATGACATGACCAGAAATTAGACATTCACATAATTTTCCTTTTCCTATTGTTTTTGGTTTTAATCTGGGTGGTGTTGTTTTACTTCTTGCTCCCTTTCCCCTGGTAGTCATGGAATGCACTTGCTTCTACAAACATAATTTTGTAAATCAGGTCGCCTCCCGATGGCCTCTGACCGTACATCCTTCTCCACCTTCATAATATATCAGCACCTTGACAGCGCAGTGAGCATTAAGCAGAGCGCGGCTTTGGCACCACCTGATTCTTTTTTTTTTTTTAAAGCAGGACAGAAAAGTTCCCACAGTGGGAGGGAACCCTAAGGGGTTGCCCACCACCTGATTCTTAAGCAGATTCTTAAGATGAGCACTGCTCCAGCAGCATCTGATTCTGTGGCGTGTGAAGGAAAGAGGAATGCCTTGCTCAGGTGCAGTGCATAGGAACTCAGCCACCACTTACGGTTGGGGGCATAGGGACTTCTGCCATGGCATGTTTCTACATGCGGTGCACAGGGACTCGTGAGCCACTCTGGAGTGGAGGCATAGGGACTTCCACCATGGCATGCTCCCACATGGTTTAGCTTCACAAGCATGAGGTAGGCATAAAGCAATGCATTGTTCTAGATTGTGCATAGGAATCCCACACGGCACCCTTAGAGGGATTTTTGCTCTAAAGATGACTAATTCAAAATAAGGTCAGGTAGGGTGGCTCACGCCTGTAATCCCAGTAGGATTGCTTGAACTCAGGAGCTCGACACCAACCTAGGCGACATAGGGAGAACTTGTCTTTATAAAACAAAACAAAACAAAAAATTAGCCAGATGTGATGGTGGGAGCCAGCTACCCAGGAGGCTGAAGTGGGAGGATTGCTTAAGCCTAGGGAGTCAAGTCTGCAGTGAACCATGATGGTGCCACTGCACTTCAGCCTGGGGCAACAGAGTGAGAACCTGATTTTTTTTTTAAAAAAGTCATTTTCTACCTGAAAGAATGGCAGGAACTGAGAAAAGAATTAGAAAGAGTTATCTCTGTACACTATTATGAGGTTGCATAAATTCTGAGACTTATACATTCTTATTTAGTTCAATTCATTATTACTTTGACAACTTACTGCATACAGGATTATGTTAGATTCTTTTGAGACTCTAGCTGACCCTTGTATAACATGGGGGTTAGGGATGCTGGCTCCGTGCTGTTGAAAATCTCTCTATAAAACTTGATTCCCTAAAACTTTACTACTCATAGCCAGCTCTTGGCTGCAACCTTACAAATAACATGACTGATAAACACATATTTTGCATGTTTTATGTATCATATGCTGTATTCCATCACTCAAGTAAACTAGAGAAAAGAAAATGTTATTAAGAAAATCATAAGGAAGAGAAAACACATTTACAGCACGCACTGTAGCTGCCAATACCATAAGTTTACGTAGTCTGTTTACAAGATGAATCATCTGTCTGAAATGGTAGCAGCCTCAGCTGCAGACCTCAGTCTATGGTTCATAGCCAGCACTTATTCTTGCAATGTCATGACTTTCTCTGCTTCTTGGGAGCCCTTCCAGCATCACCAGCAACACCTCGTATGGGTCCCACAGTGTTACTCATGGTTTATGATATTGCCAAATAGAAGGAAAAAACTTGCAAGAACCATGAGATCAATTTATTGGGAAGAAAAACTGCTCACGTGGAGAAAATTAGTGAGTGTGACATGCACTTTAAGTGGGGAAAAAATTATTCCAATACTGCAATATTGTTAATTTTATGCAGTTATAATTTAATTTTACATGTTTATATTTGTTTACATTTCTCTTGACTGCAAATGGCAACTTGTACAATCTGCAAGAATTTGTGTGTGTAATGTTTAATAAATTTTAACTTTTTCTTTTTTTATTTTAAATATATGGGGTACAATTCAAGATTAGGTAGATAAGTGGTCATTGTACAGGTAAAGTCTGGGTCTCCCTTTGGCCCCCACTTCACCTGGTTTGAAATCAGTTACCCTTATTGATGTTATTTATCCTCCCTCCCTTCCCTGGCAGCATCCCGCTACTGCCAAACCCTTTCTTACTATGATAAATGCTCAGGGTCCACTTGTAAGTGAGAACATGTGGTACTCAGTTCTTTGTTTCTATGATAGAGCACTCAGTATTATAGACTCTAAATCTATCCAAGTTGCTGCAAAGTCCATAAGGTTGTCCTTCTTTGTGGCTGGGTAATATTCAATTGTATATATGTGTATATTTTAAAAATCTAGTCCACTTTCAATGGCAGCATTTTGGTTCTATGTTTTTGTTATTGTGAATAATGCTGCAATAAGTTTGCATGTGCAGGTATCTTTTTTATAGAAAGATTTATGTTCCTTCAGGTATATTCACAGAAAGGAGATTGCTGGGTCATATGGAAGGTCAATTTTTAGGTCTTTTAGGAATTGCCACACTGTTTTCCACAGAGGTCGTATTAGTTTACTCTCCCACAAACAGTGTAGAAGCATTCCCTTTTTCTGGCAACCTCTCCAGCATCTATTTTTTTGAATTATTGATGATGGCCATCCTGACTGGAACTAGATGGTATCTCAGTGTGGTTTTGATTTGCATTTCTTTGATGATTCGTGACGCCGTGCATTTTTTCACGTATCTGTTGACCGTTTGTATGTCTTCTTTTGAGAAGTATCTATTCATATCTTTTGCCCACTTTGTGATGAGGCTGTTTTGTTGTTTTTTTTTTTTCCCTTTAGCATGTTTTATTTCCTTGTAGATCCTGAATGTTAGGCCTTTGTCATATATAGTTGGCAGATATTTTTTCCCATTCTGTGGGCTGTCTCCCTGCTATCTTGATGGCTTCTTTTCCTTCGCAGAAGTTTTCAGTTTGATGAGGTCTCGCTTGTCCCGCTTTTCAGTTGGATGAGGTCTCTTATGGCATGAACTCTTGAGGTTTTTGATCAGGAATTGGTTACCTATTCCAATTTCTGTAAGGGTGTCTCCTGCATTTTCTAAGATTCTTATAATTTGAG